GGTGCTTAACGTTGTAACGTGGGCATTTTTTAAAATATCAACTTTGAAGGCAAAAAAAAAAAAAAAAAAAAAAAAAAAAAGTGGCAAGGGTCCTTGAAATGTCAAGTGACTCTGCTTGACTTGCTGGTATCTTACAAATATTTTTCTTTGTTCATTTAAAGTATTTTGGGGATTAACTAATTAAGCAATAAATGAATTTTAAAAGAAACAACAAAATTACTTCTAAAAAAATGTCCATCACAAAAAAACAGAGCTGACATCATTTCAAGCGTTGGACGCAAGGGAAATAATTCAACCAAAAACTTACTTATCATAATAATTCATTACCTTTTCTAAATATATTTTTTTTAAAACTCTGGTAGAAAGGTTTGTATAGTTTTATGAGTTTTCAAAGCTGGTCATTGTAATAAATCGAATTTTGTAGCATAATTAGGTATATAATATATAATATATATATATATACAGTCGAACCCGGTTATGTCGACGGCCTCGGGGTTTGCCAAAAAGCGCCGAGATAACCGATGATCGAGATAAACGAAAACCAATATGGTGGCAATATATTAACATGTGATTGAAATTTACTTATGCACAAGATCTGCGTTTATAAATGAGAATGTACATGCACGTGTTTTGGGAGTTTTTTTTTTTTTTTTTTGTTTTTTTTTACAAAAGCGTTACCGCGCTTTGTTTTAAACCAATATGGTGGCAATATATTAACATGTGATTGAAATTTACTTATGCACAAGATCTGCGTTTATAAATGAGAATGTACATGCACGTGTTTTGGGAGTTTTTTTTTTTTTTTTTGTTTTTTTACACAACAGCGTTACCGCGCTTTGTTTGATGAAGAGATCGGCATGCTATACAAATGTACATACATGTTTGCTAACAAGACAAGGCCTATGTGTGGTACCACTTTTCCGGATTATCCCGGAATTCCGGATTCGTGCGGCTAAATATTTTTCAGCTTTGGATTCGCGAGTTTTTTTATTTTCTCTCGCTCCGGAGTCGCCAGTTCAGCTTATTCAAATACGGATTCTGGGTCTTAAAAAAATCAACGTGTAAGAACGCATGAAAGCCTATTAAACGACTAGCGTGTTTGCTATAAATAGAACAGGTACTGCGACCTCTCTCTTTTGTTTGCAAGCCTCTCGCGCCTCTTCTGGCTGTGTCAAGTTAATTGTGCTGACAACAATATTGTCATTTAATTTCAATTACTGCTATTTGAAGTAGGCACGTTTCTATTCTATTGTATATAATTTTCAAAAGCCGGCGATTGGTCATAGGGATCGAGACAATCGAGGTTAAGTGGCAAATTTTGCCACCTTTTGTGCTCAAGATATCCTCCTCATCCTCATGTCTCTTAGTCCTTGGACCGTTGGGGCGCCACAGATGACATATGAACCATCCTCCTCCATTCCTCTCTGTCTTCAGCACTACGCACTGCATCGCTCAGTGTTAGTCCTGTCCACTCTTTGGTGTTATCCTGCCACCTTTTTCTTTGTCTTCCTCTTCTTCTCCCTCCTCTTGTGGTGCCCTGCAATATTTATTTGGCAAGCCTTTGTTTCCTTGTTACGTGGCCGTACCATTGTAATTTGCGTTTTCTCACAGTCACCAGTAGATCATCGCACTCCCCAATTGCATGACGAACCCTATCTTTCACTGTAGCATTGGAGATATGGTCCCTATAGCAGATGCCAAAAATGCTTCTGAAGCATCAAGATATCAGGGTTCGGCAAAATAAAAGAATCCACATAACCGAGGAGAAAATGCTAAGACAAAGAGAGAATTTGGCGGTTCTACTTCAAAAACATCGACATAACAGGGTTGGTGAGTTAAGTTATAGTTATGTTTACATTATATTTACTCTATTCAAAATTTTCCTTTCCTGGTCTTCAAATCTGCAAACCTTTTAATGACTTGATCAAAATCAATACGCTTCAACGCATCCCTTTCAATTGATAGTAGAGCCAGATCAGAAAACTTTGTCCAATGGTGGATCGTAAAAAGCTCTCGATACGCTTTAGTTTTGAAAATGACCAGTCCATGAATTGGCGAAATTTAGTATTAGCTGCATTTGGTATCTTCTGAGTCTTGGTATTTCTTTAAAAAGTTAATCTTCTGATAAATCATCATAGAAAATTTTTTATTTTGGCACGGACACCAATAGCTCTTCTTCACTTGCTGATAGTAGACTCTTGGGTTGAACAGCTCCAAACATATCTGGTACTTCCTTGATCGCTGATGATCTGATCTGGAGTTCAGAATGAAAGCGATACACTCCAACATCTCACTACTGTTTTCTTCGGACATAGGGAGTCCAGCATCTATTAATTGTTCTCCTGCCATTCTTTTCTTAAACCTTAATCTTCTCTCCACCGAAATTCCATTTGGGTATGATTTTAAAAGCGGAATTTCAATAGCATTTTCCACCAAGTCACGGTGCTTCTCGTGCAGAAACAATATTAAGGCCTCTAAATTAGGGTGACCAAATCATGAACTGGAAAAAACGGGATGGTTTGGCGGGACCGGGGGGGAGGGGGAATACCATTACTAAAAATATTATTGCAAACTGTGCACTTGGCTTCACTTTCATATCATCCCTTTTTAATATAGTTCCACTCTTTGGAATACTCCTCCATAAACTTAGATTGACGCTTTGGGCATAACTATTGTTTACATGAGAAGATAATATAAAATTGAAGAACAACACCCACAACAAGGACCTGTCATTCTGACGCGAACAGGCCGGCAGGGATCACACATAAGACTGTCACTCTGACGCGAACAGGCCGGCAGGGATCACACATAAGACGAACACATTACACGTAGTGGTAGTGGAATCAAAATTGTTTTCTGCGCTGTTACATCACCCCCCCCCCAACCCGGCCCCACGGCTTCAAGTCTCGTATCTTTCCCTATACATTTACATATAAGATCTATGGCAGGGACACTGGTGGTGGGGAATAGTGCAGCCATCACGCGAGCCCACATCACTTCTGGCACTGGCTGCACAGTTAGCCAAAATATTACTTAAAGTTATATTATAAATTAGGAAGTTTTAGTGATTTGAAAATGTGTTTGGTTTAAAAAACGGGGCATTTAGGCGTCCCGGTAGACTTTTTCGGGACAACGGGTACGATCGCGAAAAAACGGGACAATCCCGTTTTTTACGGGACGTTTGGTCCCCCTACTATAGGCTCTTCACCACTTTGTCAGAGTAAAGCCTTTAGTGTGCAGATACTGCTGTGTAAAATTAACCTTCTCAAATAGATCAGCCCAAAAGGTAGCAGATAAACGTGAAATGAAAGACAGCATGTAAAAGACATTGTGCTTTATGACAATGCGGCTCAAATGTTATGGGTCGGTACTAGTGACTAATCAGAGAAAATAATAATTTTGAGCATTTCTGAGTTTCGAAGCATTATGTTACAAATATTAATTAATTTTTTTAAAAAAATCACTTTAATTTAAATTAAATATTAAAAGATTGAAAATTTTGTAAAATAATTAATTAAATTTTTTAAATCCTCTACATGGGTAAAAAGGGATTTTTTAATGTTTTTAGTTTTTACCGATTCGATTCATTTACTTAAAGAATCGCTCGACCACATCGTATAATTTGTTATCAAAGGAAAGCTTTATTTCTAAGAATTTAGATCACTATAGCTTCCTGTCACTTATGAAAGTTACCGAACAAATCAATTGGAATTGAATCATGGTCAAAACGATGATTCTCTGACCTAATTAATTGTAAGGTCACTTATTTCTGACGCATCAACCTTGAAATTTTAATAAAGCACGCATTTGGATTTGTTACATGTGTGGAAAATTTACGAGTGATCGGTTATCCTTTGATGAAATTCTGTTACACCGAGCAGTGTGTACTCTAAATAAAATCCAATTTTTAAATTTGGTGTCACCACTAAAACTAAAATGGTGTCATCCGGTGCGGTCCGCACCCCCGAGCTACGCCACTGACAGCAATAGTTACAATTTAGACTTTTGTTTTGTCTGGTATTAGCTTCTTTTTTTTGCCAGTGGGCTTTGTCTGATTGGAGCTCAGCTCACTTCAGGATCTCAATAAAGTACAGGTATAAGCACTATTAAATTTTTAGAAAAAGAAATATATTTATGCAACAAAATTTAATTTTAATAGCAGCACACATAATATTTAAAATATTGGTCGAGATGAGGGTTGTTTTGTGTGTGTCGATTTGGTTAATATTTTTTATATTTAATACCAAGGGCAGTAACTGAATGCATAATTTAGATTTCCTGTAACTAAACAAACATTGATTTATAATCCAGTACACGGGAATAATCCATCTCTTTTGCGAACCTAGAATAATGGTTTTTGCTCTTCCTTTTATAGAATATAGGATACTATTCATTAAAGCAATTCAAAATAGTTTAATGCTCATTTGTGTAGGTAAATTGGACTAAAAAGTAATAATTAACAAGCCACTAACAAGCCAAATTCTAATTAAATTGATTTGTGAAATCAAACTCAACGTCAATCAATGATCATGAAATTTAACATGCATTGTGATTGTGTAGAATTAGTCATATTGTCAGCATCAGCATGTTAAATAAAGCTATCGATGTGTAGGAACATAGAGTTAGATTAATAGCAGCACAGGTGAAATTTTTGGCAATGTAATTTTTCACTATATAACTAACAATTCAACATAAAATGGTATATTTAAAAAAAACAGCATTTATTTTCCCCAGTCCAAATGAAGCACAAACTACAAAGTCAAAGAAATGAAATTGATAAAATATAACACAACTAGAATAAAGTTATGTATCATGATGAAAAAACCACTAGCTTCTTTAACATCAAACCTGCAAAAGAGAAAACGTCCAGACTAAAATCAAGAAATAATTAAAAGAACCCGTGAAATGACATGAACAGGGTAAACTAGGGGTGAAGATGTTTCCCCCCCAATGATGTATAACAGCAAACAGCAGCAAATATGCGTGGAATAACAAGAGAGCAACTGCATTATTTTAGAGCAAAACAATAAACCATGTTTCACTCATCCCATATTCACATGCCAAATCGGTATCGGCACAGAAATGCTCTTCGTACGTTTTTCCCCTCATCCTCCTTTAGTCCACCAGATTCAAAAGAACCTTTGAGAAGAGGAATTTTATTTTCAAGTGTAGCCACAGTTCTCCTCTTAGTTGGAGCTATTCTGACTTGGTTAGGTAAGTAATTAAAAGATTAAACAAATATTCAGTGTTTTATCTGTTACATTACATATGTTCAAATGCTTTGGCCTTGGCAATTCCAATATTTTTATATTTAAAAACAATTAAAATCCTAACAAAATTTACATGTGAACATAGGTAAGTTACACAGCATTTGTGTCATAAAATATATATTCTATTTAACTGTTTAATTTAGTGTGTAACAAATTCTGTCCATGTAACTAGACACAAACAAATGTCTTTCAAATACTGAGTAAAACCTAGTTTGTAATAGATATAAAAAATCATTAGATATGATACTTCTTTTTCTTCTTCTATATATTAAGGGCCCACGATCAATTTATTGATCATTCTGGGCAATGTTCCCTCCATGGGCGCCCGCAGGTAGGGGCACTTGCCCCCCCTGGATTGATTGGATAACATTTTTTTAGACAAAAATAGGCAAAAAATTTATTAAAGTAAAGAGAAAATAAAGAGACAGTAACTAAGCTGATGTCGTGTCCGTTCGTTCACCAAACAAATACGCTACAGTAAATTAAAACTATATTAAAACATTACTAAAAAAATTTTGCCCGCCCCCCCCCTGGAAAGTTAATCGATTTTTTTGCCCCCCCCTAGAAAGTTTTCTGCGGACGCCCATGGTTCCCTCTAAGGTTTGTTGGTTCGTGTGCAAAATTATAAAGTTGTGTGCAAATTTTTACAGCATCAATTTTTTTGTGCGCAAAATTTTCAGCCTACAGACACTTCAGTGGAAATTAGCTGCTCGTACTCAAAACTGCTGCGCGGCATCCGTGAGATTGCTGCGTGGCCGTGCAGCCGCGCAGCTTAAGGAGAACAATGCTAAGGGCATAGAATTAACAATTTAAAAAAAAATAATTTCAGAGTCATAAGTGTATTTTAAGAAAAAAAAAAGACAAAAAGTTCTGTCTTTGGCACACTCGTTACTTTAGGCTTAATCATAAATCAGAATTTAAAAAAAAACAAAAAAAAACAACAACTTCCCATTTCTATCTTTAGCAATGACACTCCCATGAACCAAGTCAATGCAACTTCTGTAGTGAATGTGAGGATCAGTATTTCTTTCTTGAACTTAAAGGCAAATTTATAACTGCCATTTTGACATTGTGCTCCTACCTCTGCAATCCAATATATATCTACTTAATAAGCTGTATTGTAGAATAGTGTGGACAAAACACCATTCTAATTACTAGGAGAAAGCTGTTTAATTTCCATTTTACAACTTTTTTGGAGTGTGCTTTTGTCTAATGGCAGTTATCGCCTTCCATTATTTTTTTTTTTTTGTGCCCACCTTATAAATAAAAATAAATTATTTCTTAAATCTTATGTCCTATTTTTGTATTCAAGGTTTTTATCATAAGTGAGACTATGATAAAAGCATCTGTGACTTAGTTTTTTTTCAATCACTTACCAGGATCATTTGAATTCTTTCGTGAATTTACGATTTCATTGAAACAATTGTTTCTCATTCAAAAAGTTAACTCACATTTAAGAAAATTATTTTCTTACTGAGACTGAGATAAAATGGTAACAACATTTACCTAAATAAATTAATATTTGATCTATTTTAAACTTCCCTTAAGGTTTCAATGATGTTTTTGGTGGTAAAATATCCATGACTGGCCCACTCCTCATAGCTTTGGCTCTTCTCATGTTGCTGTTGTCATTAAGACAGTTTATGCTGGCAAAGAAGAGGAACAGAACTACCAATGGACCGGTGCAGGTCTGAATATTTTAAACTATTCAATTTTTTCTCAGCTGTGAATATTTGTTTCATCTCTAATTGTCTTTAAAATATGAGGAAAGGGAAAACACAACTTTTTATGGTTTTCGCAAAGAAAAAACAAATTTTTTTTTTTTAAATTCAAGGAATAATATATGTCTTTTTTTAAAGGATGGATGAGAAATAAAAATCTATCTTTGGTTGATGTCATTTGCTTCTGTTAAAAAATATTAGTTCATTTAGCTGTTTAAAAAATTAAAAGGAAAATTCTTTGAAGTTGCCTCTTTTTGGTTTGTATTACAATGTCCTAGTTAAAAGTAACTTAGCTTTAAGAAAATGAGAGATAATATTTATGATCTGTTTGGCAACAGATGGAGACAATGAATTCTGGATGTGTAGCACAAGTTGCGGCTGATCAGGATGATATCAATGGAACTGCCACTATCGTGGTTGAAGCATGGGATAGTGAAGAGCCAAACACTGATCCTATTCCGTAAGATGCATATCTTTCTACCATATTAACTGGCACATTAATAATTTTTTTAAATTGACATTTAGTGACCATTAAGGAGTTCAAGATAAAGTAAAAAATGAATGAAATATTCATAAATTTACATAATGATTAAGCTGTTATTTGCCAAGTCACAAAAGTTAAAAAATACAGCATATCTTTTTCTTATTAATTATTCCAATACAAAATTGCCCTTAATTAAAAAATAAATAAATGTCTTAATGTCTCTCACCATTCAAGAAGGCCCAATATTTTATTACACTGAATAACCATATGTTTTACTACAATCTCTAACCAGATTTTTGACTACACTTGGTAACCACATATTTTACACACCTTTTATCTAATTGAATGAAATAGCTAACTTTATCTGATGTTATTTATATTGCTTGGTGCAGTATTGCACACATAGGACTAAATCAATTTTTTTGAGATCCCAAATTTATGATAAACTTTTACAGTTCTATTTTCAGAAACACGGATGAATTAGCCCCGCCTTCTTATACAGATATTGCACAGAGTTTCAATAGCAATAGCCCCAGTTTCTTCAGCCATGATGATCATAACGAAGCCCCTCCCACATATGAGGAAACCTGTGCTGGGATTTATCCTTACGCCAGTGAGAGCAGCCTGACCCAGTTAGGATCTCGGCGCTGCTCTGCTCAGTTTGATAGATCTCCTTCCCCATGTAGGACAGGACAGGCTTATTTCTTCCAGAATGACACTTGCTTCACTCATACAAATGGTGTGGCAATACAACCATGCAGACAATCCTTATGCCCCAGCACTGCTGTAGCCAAGTGCCAATCCCAGACAAGCAACGGGGAAAATACCCATTTGGCTTTCCAGAAAAATATGAGGACATCTGTAGCCCCATCAAGTGCTGCCCTTGACCTAGGCACAGACAACTGCTTGGTGTCACCTCTAGCTGTGACCCCAGTTGTTTCAAGTCCAGACAGCAACACAGCATTAGATAACGCTGCAGGACAATCTCATCAGTGGTCTCGGAGATCATTCTCTTCTATTCCATCTTACACATGCCTGCTAAGTGAGTCTGGTGAAGTATCAGCACAGGTATTCAACACATCATCCATCATAGAGGAAATGATGCCTTCTGGTGGTGTGTACAGCAGAGATGGGGACACGGCTTCACCAGGACTTCTGTCTGGTCCCTCAGGCATTCCAACACGTTCTCATTCATTGTCCTCTGTGCACGCCATCCGACAGGGGGTCCCCTACAGCAACATCAGCCCCTCAAATTTACAGTCTAGTCCAACCAGTGTGGCACCTCACCTGCCCAACCAGCCACTGTACGATCAGCAACCTCTCTCTGCAGCCCTGGTCCATCCCTCAAACTCAACCAACAAATCAAGTCAGATCCTGTACAGCTGTTCTTACCACCAGGGACCACCATTCAGAAAGGCAAGCGATTCAAACATATTAGATTTACTAGGGAAGCAGTTACCTAATGGATCCACCACCATGCAAGGTCAGTCATCCTCAGAGTTCCATTCCAGCTCTTCACTAGGCATCACGCCAAGTCAGCCCATGGGAAACACACAAGATTTGAACCCACACAGAGAATCTCCTTCCTCATTTTCTAGCAGCTCACTGGAGAGACGAGGAAGTTTTAAGAGAGAGAGTCCCGTGATCTTTGACTCCCAGACATCCCCTGGCCAAGCCAAACTTTTAAATACACAAGACGTACAAGAGACAATCTAAAGTGTTAATTTTTTTTAATGTTCCTTTATTTTCTGTGTCAATGAACAGTTTCATTGTGGAAAATTGAGCAATTTCTACAGAAGAGGAGAAAGATATTCTCTTTTGTCTTGATGTCCAGCCTTGGTTGGTGTGGTGACACTTGATTTATAGTTTTAATGTTGACATTTTCTGATGCCCTCTGGTCATTCTCCAGCATAGCCAAGGCAATTTTTATTAATTGTTTTAATTTTTATATTGTTACTGCGATTTAATTTACAAATTGTTATTTTATTTGCTTAAGACTGTACAAATGAGATTGTTGTAATTAATTTACTGAACTTTGGAATCATACAACACATAAGTAATCTTGGAGTAGTTTAAAAGAAATGTTTTTAAATGCTTGTAAAAAAAAGTTGATTGTCTTAAGATGTATTTGTGTCAGTTAGTGTTGTAATCGATATTTTGTAATCTGAATATAGAGTTTTGTTAAAACCCAGTGCAATTTCATTGATATCATGATGTCCAAAGCTTCTCCACATGTATAGTTTTATTCAGTTGCTTCATTCTAGTCTTCAATGTTTTTTATGAATATTTTACATTTTAAAAACATATTTTTGTTTTAAAAAACTTGAATATTTCTTCTTTACACACATTTCATTAGTGACTATTTCAAAATGCAACAAACCAACGAAATCTCATGTCCCCTACATCTCATCTGTCCATATTTCTTGCCCCTCAGTGTCTCATGTCCTTCTATGTCTCATATCCATCAGTGTCTCACGTCCCTCTATGTCTCATATCCATCAGTGTCTCATGTCCCTCTATGTCTCATATCCATCAGTGTCTCATGTCCCTCTATGTCTCATATCCATCAGTGTCTCGTGTCCCTCTATGTCTCATATCCATCAGTGTCTCGTGTCCCTCAATGTCTCATATCCATCATTGTTTCATTCATCTGTGTCTCATGTTTCTCTATGTCTCATCTAGTCTGTGTCACATGCCCCTCATTGTGTGTTGCCCCTCTTTTTCCTTATGCCTCTTATGTCTCATGTACCCATTTGTCACATGACATTAACATTTGTGTCTCATCTATTTTCACTTGTCATATTAATGATTATACTAATTGGGCCATATTGGCCTGCATAAACATATACAAAATAGAAATAGGAGTGTATTCTGTACTGTTTAATTCTTACAATTGCAATGGACAATTGATGCTTGGTAAAATCTGAGTCATCTTCCATCAAATAAAAATTAAAAAAGCAAAGACATTTTTTAAGCTAATAAAATATAGTTAATTAATTGGATAATCGTCTATACCCCAGTGTGTAATCCATACTTTGATGGCCTTACTCCATACATCAAGGGCTCCTGAATCAAATCAATGTGCTAAAGGGTAGATAGTTGGACTGGAATCTTGCTGCCAGGATGTCATTACTAAACCATAAACAGTTAACAAAATCTAATTTACATCTTAATTTGCATGTCATGATTAAAGTTGTGTTTCTCAATGCTTATTGTAATCAAAATATTTATTTAATTTATTCATTTTTCCTCATTGGTGTGAGGCAGATTCTATCTAGCATTATGCCAGGTAATTTAGGATTTGTCACTTTAAATATTAAATACCAAAGCCCAATGAAGTAAATTTTGGTCAATGAACATATATTGGCAGATATTTGTTTACATTTTTATAAATAACATACTAGACATGATTATTGCACTTTCTTGTCTTGAAGATTAAAAGAAAAAATTGATTTGTCTCACAATGTGACCAATTTCATTGTTACCCAAAAATTTGATATTCCTGTGGCGAGCATTTCCTTGCATTATTTTAAAATAATTGTAACCTTGACATTAGAATTTAAACAAAATATTTGAGTGAAGTATAATTATTATGTTCCTGTAACTTATTTCAATTTGTTTAGTTATGTTAACAAAGATGCATTTATTTAATTCCATTGGTGAGAATTTAACTAATACAAAAAAATTTATATCTGTAACTAACTAATACTATTTATGGTGTAATGTTTATCTTTTTATACTTAAATTTGCTTGCTAATTGTAAGGATAATTATATTATTGAATAAGATTGCACCATATTCCAATTGCACACATTTAAATATAAAAATCTTGGGCAATATATATATATATAAATATATATATGGTATATAAATTAACAATAAATTTGATGGTGCCGTAAATATATATAATTTATAGCATCATCAAATGTAAATGTTCCGTTATTGTTAAAATCTGGAGTTTCCTAAATGTCTTCTTAGCTTGGTCAGAAGAGACACAAAACATTTTGCCATTTTTTCTGTGTAGTTTCAAATCAAGACCAGCCACTTACATATTCTCACTTTGGAATGTTTCAAAATATCCCAAAGCGGGTAGCCGTTAAAATAAAAAAAAAGTAAAATATTGACCCTGTGTGCAATCTTATTTTGAAGCTCGATAACATTACTCACCTGATTAACAATAACTAAAGCATATTTCATTAAATGCCAATGTTTGACAAGTGTAGCTGATAAATGTTAAACTTTTTTAAAAAGGTATAGCGTAACATATTATTTTTTTAAAAATTATTTTTTGTGTGAGATGATAGAGCGTGCTGGAAATTAAAGTTTAAAAAATTTTTTTTTGAACAATTAATGAAATTTTCATCTGATTCACTACTTAATTATTTTTAATCTATTCAAACCACAACAATAAGGTCACCTTACAGGTATTAACATTTTTCAAGTGTTTTATAACACCATAATGTTCCCAGGTGGTTATGAAAAAACAGATTTAGATCCACTACTCTAAGACCAGATGGTTTTTTTTTGTTTAAAAAAACTAATTTTGGTTAAATATGTTTTGTTCAGTCATGCATTAACTTTATTTCAGAATTTTTAATTAATAAGAAATGTAAAATTCCATTACAAGTTTGACCCATGCTTTTGTAATTTATCCCATGAGAAGTACACTTTTTCAGTGTTTACAGTAAGCCATCTATCCTTATCCTGCCATTTCCCTCAAATGATGTGAAGACACAATCAGCTCTTTTGTGGTCTGGTCTGATTTAACAGCTAGTAGGAAATACTAGATTATCATGAGCTTGTACTGGCCTAAGTCTAGTAGGTTATCTTGAGCTTGTAATGATTGAATCTAGTAGATTATCAAGAGTTTGTACTGGGTAAGTATATTAGGTTATCATGAGCTTGATATTGTTGAATTTATGCAAGTTGAGATGCAATCCAAGAGAAGCATGTTTTGATGGCTTACTTTGTTTTGTTTTTGTCTTTAGTTTCAATGTAGTGTCAAAAAGTCCACTCATAACTTTTAGTAACTGTGGTAACATGAGCAAAGTCTGTGATTTTTATCTGCTATTTTAGTTTAATTTCTTCTCATAATATGAATTAAACTTGAGCATTTACTCTTGATTCTCCTTTTTTTTTGGTCATGTGATACAAACTTCCTGTTCAGAAATAATGAGCCGCCAAATGTCCACTTTCATTATTTTTTTAAAAAGACAAAATGTCAGAATATTATTCAGATAGGATATTTTAAAGTCCTTTTACTATTTTAAAAATGCCAAAATGTTTTTTTTTAAAATTCTGCTTTTTATCTCCAAGTTTTAGTAGTTAATGAATTAATGTTGTGATTATCTTGTTAAGTCAAACTGAATAAGGTGGTAAACCTTTGTGGGGAAAGAAATTTCTGGGTGCCAAAATTTAGCATATTTTGCTCTTGCATCATATGCCTTTATTTTAAAACTCAAAAAAGTGTGAAATTAACATCATATCACTACCATCATATCACTACCATCATGTCACTACCATCATATCACTGCCATCATGTCACTACCATCACATCACATCATACAGTAGTAAAACAAAGGAATAAAATTAGAGTAAAAATTAATTATTGATTTTTCCTTTGACTATTTGAAATTCACATGACTATTTGTATGTGTGGACACTTATTCATGAGTGTATAAATATATGTGTTATAAAATAGTCTGAAAATCTTTACCTAATAATCATAACATTGAATAGAAAGTACATTTCCTTCTGTTTTTTGTTGCACCCGTAAAATAGTTGAGTTTACTTTCATGATCTGTTGCAGGTTCTCTTAGTGGCCTTTCTCACCTTCAATGCCCTCCCATTTTTCACTTTCATTTTCCTCCCTTCTCTCACCTATATTTTCCTCCCTTCTCTCACCTACATTTTCCTCCCTTTTCTCACCTATATTTTCCTCCCTTCTCTCACCTATATTTTCCTCCCTTCTCTCACTTATATTTTCCTCCCTTCTCTCACCTATATTTTCCTCAACTTCATTTTCATCCCTACTCTCACCATCATTGCCCTCCCGTTTCTCACCGCCATCGACCTCTCACAGCTTACTTTTGATTACCTGTCACCTTTTGTTATTACCCATCTGTCGACTTCATTGACCTTCTTATCTAATATTTATTGACCTCTTAAAGCTCACCTTAATTATCAAGACAATGAAGAATATCATCTCTGTATTCATTTGTAGTAGCATCACCTACCTGGATTTGACAGACGTGCTAATATGTATGTTAGTTGGAGTGTCTCAGAGGTTGTGTATTTTGATTAATTGAAATTTACAAGATGAGATAACAACATGTACAAATGATGCAGTGTGTAGATGACTTTTTGCAAGGATAAACATCAATTATATATAATATCTATATTTATAACAGAATATTTTTGTGACTGTGTTTGCTTTTGTTCCCACTTCAACAATCATCAGATGTTTTCAGCCAAAATGCTTATCATGGGTCAGTTGTAATGTTAGGAAGAGTTAATAACTAACAGTATATGTATTCTTGTATCATGCTACCGACTGACTGGTTGTACTACTGCACAAAACTTGATGTACTTAACGTGGTTGCCGTTCCACAGCATGGACCAGGTTTAACTTGAGGGGTGGGACATATCTCAGCATGAAACAGGTCTTGACTGATCCTCAAGATAGCTTACCACTTATTTTGCAGTCCTGTAGGAAGTGGTTTGGTTGCCACAACACAACTGTCATGCCAGAGGAATTCCTTCCTGAGTTTACATAAAATGGGAACAGGACTGAGGCTGGTACAGCTCAGCTTATCACCTCAACTTTAATGGCAAATAAACCAATCAAGGCATGCATATGTTTTATGAAAACATTTACTTATAAATGTATTTCAGTTTCAAGCATCAACACTTTTAGACTTTGCAAGGGGTTCAGGATCACCTGTCAATGGCAGGCTTGTTTTATTTTTAACAGACTTTGACTGAATGGTAACACTGCTGTCACATTTACTGATGTGCTGGCAGTGACATCATGTATCCCACACTCAAACTGGTCACCCCTGGATGACAGTTTTGTGCATTTTTATAACAATACAGGATAATTCTGTCAGTCTCTAGTTGTATGACTACTGATTGTCTATCATCAGACTGTGGTGGTCATGACTGGTTGTGGTCTGAAATGTTAATCTTAAAGTTTCATTATTCACTTCTTTAAACTTTTCCTTGCCTCATCTCTGAACAAAAGGATATAATTTTTAAAAATCTGTTTGTCATCGGTTTCTTCTTTTCTAGGAACGTTATCAGCATCTGGTGGCAATGAGGAGCATCTGGTGGCAATTAAGAGCATCTGGTGGCAATGTGCCTTGTTTCTGTACAAGAAAGCCACTAACTCTCCCTCACTTGTTTACTCACCACAGACAATTATTGCCCCATCTGTTCATTTTCACGCGTTTTGTTATGTCATCAAACATTGCCATTACATGGATTGATAAATCCATTTGCCAATGTTTCTTTGTTTTATACAAATAAGCATTGACAGTTCATTATTTTTTGTGTTAGCAACAGTGGCTTCCCTTGGTTTTGTTGAATATTAATTATGATGTACCATTTTCTTTGTTGTGAAATGCAGCATACTGAACTATAACCGTGTTTGATGTTTTCTTTGCCTTAAAGAACACCTTCTGATACAACTTATCACCAGACCTTATCACAACAAAGAAGAAAAACTTACTCTATTAAGTAAAGAGTTCATAATTCAAAAAACAACAATTTTAAAAAACAACTCATGTTAGTTGAACATTTTTATATTTAAAACAATTTTTTAAACTAGGTCAAGCATAAAATTGACAAGAATCTGATCAGTTTTTGAATAATCATGAACCTAGGTGGGGAAACTTGCCCAGTGATGGACTTAAAATTCTTCCCCATATCTTTGCCTTTCACAGGAGATATTATTTAGAGCATTGGGCATCAATGATGGATGGGCCTACGCACCCCTCCCCCCAAAGTACATAATCTGGCCTTGACCTAGACCATTTCATTCAAAATTGAATGTGTCAAAAAAAAGTTTGTAGCTAGAAATGTATAATTAAAATAAATTAAGTAATGAGCATAATCTAATTCGCATATTCTGACTGGCCTGATCCTGAAAGATGAATATCACAATTTTACAGTCAAAGCATTTCATCTCAATGAGTTTTAAAATAGTGGCCCTCTACATTATAATCATATTTCATTGAACTCATCTTATTTGAACCTAAGTGTGCATCCCAACCCCTTTCCTTAACTAGACAATGTATTTAAATACAATGGTTCTCAACTCTGGCAACTCTCATGTCTCCATTTCAGCACTATTAATTAAGCCTGTGTTTTCTAATGATGATGTGTATGTATATCTCATGTCTGTTGCTATGATATAATGGTTTCATACACTACAACTTACACATCTGTCATGTAATTATAACAAGTTTTCAAACAAAATAACGTGTGAATTTGTAGCAGTAACCTAAATGTTGTAATTCTCAATAAAATGTGGAAGAAAAACACTTTTCATGAGTTACTTTTATTAATATCTTACAATGAAAATTAAGCGACACCATTGCTACGTTTTTGATTTCTTTGTAAGATTATTACACATTTTTATGCAGTTATTAATTTTGGGACTAACATATCAAATCCTTATATAAAATTATCCTGTGGTTAAATATTAAATGAATTTCTAAAAGGGGAAGGAGATCGTATCCTATTTGAAGCTGTGGTATCCTATTTGAAGGAGATCGTATCCTATTTGAAGCTGTGATTTTAAGTATGTTTTACAATAGCGCATTGCTAACTTAAAATTTATTTATTTATAATTATATATTGTTCATTATTTAAAACAAATATTTTACAAAATATAAATACAAGTTCTCCATCTAATAATGTGAAAACCAGCAGCAAAACAAATGCTAATAAAAGATTGACTTATTTAATTCAAATAAAATCATTGAGAAATGTCCAGCTGCATCTTTGCCAGTGAGTATGACAATGGCTGCAGTCCAGTTTTTGAGGGAAAAATCTCTGTTGGCGTCCATCCAGTTTCTCTGGTTATTTAAAGAAAAAGTCTTCCTTATTCAAGTATATTGTGTGGCAATAACATTTGCAATTTGCATGGCCCCCCAGCAATGTCTATGCACTGTCCTGTAGACCAGCAGTTGAAAACCACTGACATGAAGATCAGTGCCATAAAATACAAAAGAACATAGTCTAGTCATTAAAATATGGCTTACACTACAGATCTTTGAATAGCTCAATAAGAAAGAAATGATCACCAGAGATGGTCAAATGTTTTACAAGATTTACAGCAGATCTGAAGTGATTCATAATACATTAGGGCAACACCATTATAGAAGAAAATAATTTGAGACTAGAAAAAAGAGTCTGGTTTATAAATTAGGAGAAGTAGAGTGATGAAGTCATTTCCTCATATAGTAATGGGGTCAGAGAGTCATGTAGAAATGAAGTCATAGAGTAATGTAGTCATGGAACCACTGTAGTCATAGAGTACTGGAGTCTCCCCACATGGCTCTAGTTGACATATCTGTGGCCTGCAGACTAAGGAGGCACTGTCACAGATTCCCTGGCGCTAACCGGGGAACATAACCACCATTGCATGAGCCTGCATGGGCAGACAAAGGGGATGCATGATATCTGCCAAACATTGTAGCAAAGACAGTGCTACTGCCAGCTGTGGGCATATCTGCAGTTGAAATAACATTAGGGATCATGATTACTATGGTGCAGATGACGGATATGAGTCATGTGGTGGGTAGTGGCAGCCTCATGCTAAAGATGCCATTTAAGAGGCTGTTCCTAGGCAACCATTATGTCCCATCTACTTCATGAACTATTTGTGAGGTAGAAACCCACTGTAAAAAAAACAACACACTATTAGAGGGCAACCAGTGCTTCCCTTGGAAGGGCAGGTGGAAATATTAGGAAGGGAATAAACCATCCCACCCCCTGGGAAAGTCAACTGCTGATGTTGGGTGAGCAACATCACCGACCGACTGGATGATGTCCTTTGGTTGAGATAGCCCCCGTATAGCTAGTCAAGCAAGTGAGGTTACAGACGGGACAGTCCTAGAAGTAGGAGATCTCCAACCTGCCGCTTCATGGCCTGTTAAAGGACTTTTTTTGGACTTGAGGGTGGTGCTTTCGGGAGGGCATTAAAAGCTTTATAGTTCGATAGCTTGCTGACGCCCTTTCCTAATGTACAGATTCAGTAATGGAGTAATGATATTACAGAGTGATGAAATCATGGTATAATTGAGTCATAGATTCATGTAGTTGAGTCATTGATGGTAGAGTAATAAAGTGATACGGTTATGGAGTTAATAATTAAAAACCTATATAATAAATTATTTCAGATTAAATAAGGGCTGCTAAGCATGGAGTAGCTTCTCATCATTCGCAGTAACATTTATACTTCTGTAGCTACTTTCTGCTGTTTTGTCTGGTATTTTGTCTGCTGTTTTGCCTGTAGCTTTGTCTGTCCCATGGTTGGAGCTCATTTCACGTTTGGATATCACCAAGATATAAGCACTGGAAAATATAATTTTTATTTATGAATATTTTATCTCCTAATAAATGTGGGACTTAGAGGAAATTATAAACTATTCCATCTGCAAATGGCCAGAAACTGTTGACCAATGACAGGATTAAGATATCCTTAATAACATCTTAAAATTGTGGATGTTTAATAAAAACACATTAAAAATATCTGATACTTATTAATTACCAATTTCTTTGCTTAGTGGTAGTTCCAGATATTAATAAAAATGGATTTAAACATTGCCATAAATAATTTTATTTACTTGATCTTAATATCTCTGAAAAATACAAAGTTTGAGGTGAAAGCCTGATTGATCCATTATCATTACCGTATCTATTTCACATTGTCTGGACACCATGATAATATAAGAACTAAATATTAATAAATACCAGAAAGTGTCTTGGATATCAATTGTTACTAAGAATTCTCCATACAAATGACGGAAGTTCTAATCCATTTCTAAAATGTAAAAATTCTCCAATATAAATCACTCTTTACTGTTAGTGGAAAAATCATTGCAGAGCCTTCATATTATATTTTGTTCCCTCACAGTGATGATTTTAGAAAGACTGGTCCGATATCATTTCTAAATATAAATCTGCTTCAATTTCTAATTTGAATGTAAATATTTATAATTACACCATGACAGTTCCTGCCAAGACGAGACAGATGGCTATAACAAAATAGGTCAGTCCGTGCCAGATGTCCACTGTGAAAGAATAAAGTGCATCTAGGCCGGCACCAGCAACAGCCAAAGTGGCAACTTCTATCACAGCAATGCTGGCAAACAAGGAGCCTGGAAAACAGATGAGGAAGTAAATTGACATGGGTTTGAAAACTCCCAAATAGACCTGCCGCCATTCAAGCATTTAAACGTGTCAAACTCATTCACACACTATTTTGGGTCCCCAGACTCCTTCACCATCCTTTTTCAACATTTCTTTTTCCCCTTCTCTCCACAGTAGAGCTAGGCATTGAGGTATTTTCACCTGAGGCAGGAGGGTGAACTTGCACCTCTATGTATATATTTTAAAATTTTAATTAGTGTTTTTTACCAATTAGCAATTAGGTGCCATTTGCTATTATTCATCTGGGGCAAGTGCCTCCTCCCCCCCCCCCGTTCTGGCCCTGCTTCACAAAATAAAAACATGGACCTCCTTTGATGATTAAAATGATTTTACACTTGACTTTTTCTAGTTTACTTTGTTTGAGTTTCAGCATACAATGATTGATTGCCCAGAGGTAACCTTATTGAATTTGGAATGAAGCATGTAGGAAGTTATTTGTTTTTTTTTGGTATGGCCAAGTGCCAATCTTGAACGGAAATGATAACTGGAAGAAGTATCACTTTCAACATGTATGTCAGTTAATTTTCAAATGTGATGGTCAAACTCACTCTGACGGGTGAACAGGAAATTACTGAGACATTTTTAGGTCATTGAATTAAATAAGCCCCATGCATAAAAGGTGGGTTAGTGAAGATCTTATGTTTTTGTTGTTAGTTTTTGTAATATGATGTACAGTTATTAAAAAAATTGGATTTGATATTCTTTTAGCTATAAATTATTTCAACTTACCTCTCTGTTCAGATGAAACTATACGAGACAAAATAGCTCTTATGATTGGAAGTAGCAGCAGCTCAAACAGTCCTATGGTGTAGGCTGAATATTGGACAATGATGGCATTTTTTTAAAAGAGGTTATTCTTATTGCATGCAATTAATAGAAAGAATTGATCTAATATTAGAATGTTATTTTTTAGTTTTAAAAAACACAAATTTATGTTATGATACCAATAAAATTGAAAATGTTCATTATTTTAATTTGTTAAAATCATCAAACTCAAACCATGACAGAAACAAATTTTGATATATTTAGGTCAGATTTTACAATTTATGACAATGCATTTATGGACACTAACAGTACCATTAATGGTGTGAAGACAATTAAAAGGGTAATTACTTGTTTACAAAGGAAGATCATATTTTTGAAAAGCTACTTTACCGACATATATCATCCAGTCATAAGATGCAAAGGCAAGAACAAAGCGACTTGCAGCGCCTGAGCCAAGGGAGATTATACAGATAATTTCATCAGTCAAAAATCTTTGTAAGAGTCCCATCAACACTAGGGATGCGAAAGCACTCAGTAAACCCTTCGGGAAGGTGTAAAAAATACATAAAATAAAAATAAACATTTGTTTACACATGAAAAAAAAATCATCATCCTGATTGAGTTAGCATGCACAAGAGCATGGGTTCTCTAGGACTACTTTATATTGTGTCTATAATCAAAGTATTGTATCACGTTCATTTAGCTGAATCCCTAGGCTATACTATAAGGATGATCTGATGAATGGATAGTTAAAAACAGACAGAGATATACAAAAAGAGCAGGTTGAAAGGACGAATTTAAAGTAAGTCAACCTTAGTGTTAATAAACTCATTCTACTTCCAACATAAAAAACAACGCCTATCAAATGTCTTTCATTAACTGTCATCACTGTCATCCAAGTATAAATCTTTGTCTTTAAAAATCCTACTTACTTTTAATAAAAGACAATATAAATATTAAAAAAAAACCGATGAATTATGAAATTAACATTTAGTGAACTGACCTGAAATGTTATGACATTCCCCATCTTGACTGAGCTCCAGCACAATGGTTCATTCATGAGGTAAAGACTCTGGATAGTTACACCTAAACAGGTGGAGTACATGAAGAAAACAAAGCCCAGCATGAGGAAGTCTTTCCTCTTGTACCTGGGGTTGTCGGTCTTTATCAGGTAGAAAACGAAGACGCTCTTGACACCTACGAGTGTAATTGTTATTTTACTGGAGCAATATCTTAAATATAATATATAAATATTGATAATAGCTATTGTTAAACAAACAATGACAATACCACATATTAATAAAGAACATTACAAAGTTTGCTTCCTTCATCCTCTACAGCAAAGAACAAGTGGTGAAATTTAACCCTTAAACTTAAAAAAAATTGTTTGCACTGTACTAGTTTTTTAAATTTTTTTTACTATGTACATGCTTGCAAACAGTTCATAAATTCTTAATGACACTGAAGCTGTCTGGATATCTGAATTTATATTATTAAATCATTATTGCACTGTAACATAGTTTTTCCACTAAATACAAATAATTAAATGTGGCCTTCACATAAGTATTTATATTTTATTTGTCTATAAATGTTACTTGCAGAAAATGAAACTGCACCATTTGTTAAAAGAAATGCTCATACGGCTAACATGTAAATATAAGGGTGCACTTTTATAACATAACAGTTGTACTTGTACATACTGGTGACTGTACTGAGAAGGTAAAAAAGGGAGAACTTATTTATATATAAAGAACATGTTTCTAATGATCTACATACCATCACAAGTCTGAAACTAACGCTAAGAGAGACAACTTTTGAAACGGTGTTGCATTTTCCGAATATGCAGTTATTTCTCCTTTATAACGTTATTGAACACTAAAAGATTGAGTGTGAGCAAGATATACATAACAATCTTTGAAATAATGACTTTTTTTATCACTAACTTAAATCTAAACTATTTAATTTATGAAAACAGGCAAAATTCTTTACTGGAAAAAGTAATATTTTCTTATTACTGTGTTATTTTCTGAGGTCCTTTTGTACAGTTCATGGATCTTCTTGAGTGTTGGAATTTCCTGAGCTTATAGTTACATGTATGGCTACTGAAGAGAGAATATACTATATGTATCAAATTAGCTTAAAATGTCCTTTCACTCATTATTAAAAATATATTACCTTCAACTAAGCTCATACGTTTGCCCAATGTTCTAGTCACCAATGTTTCTTTAAGGAAGACACCACAAATGCACAGGGCCAGGACATTAATCAGAGTTGCCGCAAGCATTGGCCACAAATAACCTTCAGCTTTGATGAAATACCCCACGGCTATATGGGAGAGCGAGTAGAAAATCAGACTTGTCGACTGTTGTGAGGAGAAAGCATTCAGGATTTAAAAAAAATAGCCAACTAACAAGTTTAATATGAAATAATTATGTTATATGTATCCTTTATGTCCTTAATATCAGATAGTATTATTGATGTAGTCAGTATTATTGATATAGTCAGTATTATTAATGTAGTCAGTATTATTGATGTAGTCAGTACTATTGATGTAGTTAGTATTATTGATGTAGTTAGTATTATTGATGTAGTCAGTATTATTGATGTAGTCAGTATTATTGATGTAGTCAGTATTATTGATGTAGTCAGTATTATTGATGTAGTTAGTATTATTGATGTAGTCAGTATTATTGATGTAGTCAGTATTATTGATGTAGTTAGTATTATTGATGTGGTCAGTATTATTGATATAGTCAGTATTATTAATGTAGTCAGTATTATTAATGTAGTCAGTATTATTGAGGTAGTCAGTATTATTGATGTAGTTAGTATTATTGATGTAGTTAGTATTATTGATGTAGTCAGTATTATTGATGTAGTTAGTATTATTGATGTAGTTAGTATTATTGATGTAGTTAGTATTATTGATGTAGTTAGTATTATTGATGTAGTCAGCATTATTGATGTAGTCAGTATTATTGATGTAGTCAGTATTATTGATGTAGTTAGTATTATTGATGTAGTTAGTATTATTGATGTAGTCAGTATTATTGATGTAGTCAGTATTATTGATGTAGTTAGTATTATTGATGTGGTCAGTATTATTGATATAGTCAGTATTATTAATGTAGTCAGTATTATTAATGTAGTCAGTATTATTGAGGTAGTCAGTATTATTGATGTAGTTAGTATTATTGATGTAGTTAGTATTATTGATGTAGTCAGTATTATTGATGTAGTCAGTATTATTGATGTAGTCAGTATTATTGATATAGTCAGTATTATTAATGTAGTCAGTATTATTGATGTAGTTAGTAATTATTGATGTAGTCAGTATTATTGATGTAGTCAGTATTATTGATGTAGTTAGTATTATTGATGTAGTTAGTATTATTGATGTAGTCAGTATTATTGATGTTGTTGTTGAGCCTTCTCGTCCATGAGGGGCATCCACCGATCATCGTCGGCGTCTGCGGTTCCTCCAAGGGCATAGGCCACCTACGAGAGACCTCCAGGCATCTCTATCCTGGGCCAGCTTCTCCAGGATCTTCCATTCATGGCCAATTTTCTTGATGTCTGTCTCCAATTCTCGGCGCCAAGTGTTTCTTGGACGGCCTCTTTTCCGCTTACCCTGTGGGTTCCATTTCAGGGCTTGCTTTGTTATGTTAGAAGCAGGTTTTCTTAGTGTATGACCAATCCACCTCCACCGCTTCTGGAGAATCTCTTCCTCAATGGGTTTCTGTTTAGTCCGCTGCCACAGTTCCTGGTTGCTGATTTTGTCTGGCCAGTGAATTCTGAGAATCCTTCTTAGACAGTTGTTGATGAAGGACTGGATTCTGGTAAGGTTTACGGCCGTTGTTCTCCATGTCTCGGCTCCATATAGCAGCACAGGTTTTACCATAGCGTTAAAAATTATTGATGTAGTCAGTATTATTGATGTAGTCCGTATTATTGATGTAGTCAGTATTATTGATGTAGTTAGTATTATTGATGTAGTCAGTATTATTGATGTAGTCAGTATTACTGATGTACTCAGTATTATTGATGTGGTCAGTATTACTGATGTAGTCAGTATTATTGATGTAGTCAGTATTATTTATGTAGTCAGTATTATTGATGTAGTCAGTATTATTGATGTAGTCAGTATTATTGATGTAGTCAGTATTATTGATATAGTCAGCATTGTTGATGTAGTCAGTATTATTGAGTCAAATGATTGAGACACCGAAAATTTGTGTAAATACAGCAATACATATTGAGGGGCTTTAATTTTAGTTACACAAAATGAAAATTTAAAAGTTTCAGCAAATAGTATAGTCAGTATTTTTTATATAGTTTGTATTATTGATATAGTGTGTATTATTGATAGGCTATTAGTGATATAGTGTGTATTATTGATAGGCTATTAGTGAGTATTATTGATATAATGAGTATTATTGATGAAGTCAGCATTATTGATGTAGTCAGTATTTCTGATGTAGTCATTACTATTGATATAGTCAGTATTATTGATGTGGCTAGTAATATAGCCTGCATTACATAAGTTAGCCTGCGTGTCCATGTGTCATTATTCTAGTCCATTTATGTTTGCATTACTAATTGCTAAGTCATTTTGTATAGTTAACACATTTACTACACTTCAAGCTAATCTTTGTTCAAAGCAATAGTCTGACGACTTTTCCTCTTCAATTTTCAATGTCAAAGTGAAATGTATCACGAAACAACTGAATTCCTACTTTGCACATCAGAAGGGCGTTTAGTGGATGGGGTCTAAGTTTATGCTCTTTATAAAGTAAATATTTTTCACAAAATTTAAATGCTTTGATAACAGTTAAAAACAAAATTTAATGTATACAATGCAATTTAGTGTTGGTTCAAGAAAACTTATTGGACCCCTTCAATGGCTTTAATGTTGTCCAGTTCCAACAATTAGTCTATTTGCATTGGGGTTGCCCACACTTGTTTATAGGTGATCTTTTACGTATTTCCCAAGTATAAATTGTCTTCGTAATGAACATTTACATTGTTTACGTGTTCACGTACATACACGTACTGTTTTACACCTACCTGAGCCACAACCATACCAAATGACCTGCTCCTCTTGTGCCCCGTGTTGTCTGCCGTGTACACATAGACGGCCATAAACAAAGCGGGCATATGCCCCGTGATCCCTGCAATGCCCATTCCAACAAATGTCCAGTACACGCTGAGTCGCCAGTACGCCACTATGCAGTTGACAGCCATTCTGGCACACAAACCTACCAAGTTGGTAAAGTAAAGTATATCAGATTCTATTGCCACGGACAACACTACCAATAGCCAATTAAATGATTTCATTTCTGTCTTCTACAATCCTGAAAATATTTTGTTGTTGGGAAGTTTCAAGATGTGATTACCCCCCCCCCCAAGTAAATCCCAGTAGTATACAGGGCGGGAGCTGAGGATGCGCCCCCCCCCCCCGGGCCCCCATTTGGGGGGGGGGGCCCAATGTGGGGGGAAAATAAAAACAAGTTTTTAATGATGGAGGAAAATAAAAACTAGTTTTTGGAAATGTGAAAGTTTCTATATGAACTTCTTGTCTGTTTGTTCTCTTTGAGCGGAACTATACATTAGGCTGTTTTAGGGGGGGGGGGGGTTTGCAATCAAGGAGTTGGTACTTTTCTCGGTATTATATAGGCCCCATACTTAAGACTTAAGGATATACAACCAAGATGATGGCACAACCAAGGTGATGGCATAACCACACGTCTGCACATCAACCTAACCCCCACCCCCCTTTTTAAAAAATGTTCATCCACCACAAGGGTGATATGAATAACGTATTTAAAATACGGAAGTCCCCTTTCATGACTTCCCATCAATAACACGTCAGGCATATTTTGACGTTAATTACCTTTATATGTTAATGTAATTGTACGTTCATAAATTCATTTGGTTTGTGTAACATTAACGTGGTTCACGTCACATATTGTATAGATAGATGGCCGCCATTATTTCAGGACAAAATTAAATTTGAGTGGTCGAAAGCGCAGATTGAAAAATTGTTAGCAAACATATGTAGCAACTTTTAGTTATCTTAACATTAACATTTTAGTTCCATGGGTGATTGATTAGGATGAACCTTTGTTATGAAACTGATTTTCAAAAAAAAACTTTTGGAAAAGTCTCACCAAAAGTCGGGACAATGAAGAGAGTACGTCGTCCGATCCTGGTCGAGTAGGCGCCCAGCAGGATGTTCGTGCAGAAGGCGGGAAGAAGGGAGACCAGCATGGACCAAACGTTGAAACGTGACGTCAGAGCTTGGGCTTCATTCATTTGGTCAGTCCATGGGTCGGTGTTGTTGGTGCCGTGTATACATGGGTCATTCGCCCTACAGAGATGAGACAATTGTGTGTGTGTGTGTGGTTGATGAAAGAAACAAATTTAACAACATTTTCCTCAGTCTAGTTTACCTTTCATTTTGAAAATAAGGACGGAAGTCATTTCTGATTAGAATATCTTTGACATAAAGAAGATCTAAAACACGAAAAGGAAGATCTAAAACACGAAAAGAAAGATCTCAAACACGATACGGAAGATGTAAAGCATGATAAGGACGATCTAAAACACCACAAGGAAATTCTAAAACACAAAAAAGAAGATTACAACTTGATAATCAAGTTCTAAAACACGAAAAGGAATTCTAAAACACTATAAAGTAAATATAAAACATGAAAAGGAAGATTTAAAACGCCATAAAGATGATCTAAAATGATAAGGAAGATCTAAAACATGATAAGGAAGATTTAAAACATGATAAGGAAGATCTAAAACATGATAAGGAAGATCTAAAACATGATAAGGAAGATCTAAAACATGATGAGGAAAATCTAAAACACGATAAGGAAGATCTTAAACACGATAAAGAAGATCTAAAACACGAAAAGGTTGATCTAAAACACGCTGCCAAAAGATCTTCAGGTATATTTCGAGTTACTTACGTTGATGTGTTGGCCAAGGACCAGTTTGTTCCAAGTACCATCATTTCAAACTCAACATAAATCCACTGTGAAAATGCGTCGTTGAAGATGGAATAACTTAGCATGATCAAGGACAGAATGATAAGAGCGATGCTCAAATTTCTGGCACCCGCCGTGGAGTCGACTTCAACTTCATCATCTTCGTGTACCTTCAATTATCATTATATTTTTACGAATTCAAAGTAGGCTATGACTACAACACCTCCACTACATTAATTTTACTACATTAGCTCCATCACATTACTTTGGCTACATCACCTTCACTACATCACATCCACCATATCACCTCCATTAATTACTTTGACTACATCACATCCAGTACATCACCTCCACCACATCCTCTGCACTAATCACATTGACAACATCAGCATCAGCCATCAACATTTGCCTGATAAAACACTATGATCAGTTACCTTCCTGGTATTGTCCCCTGTAAGAAGTGGCTCGTCCGCCAGATATCGGTCAGCATCTTCTCGTGTGGTCATCGTGGTTTTGCCGCGGAACTGTTCTGGTGGAAATAAAACGGAACAACGGTTCTTACGTTTAACAGTTTAGAAATCAGTTTCCTTACAAAATTTGTTATGGTATAATTAATTTTAAGACAAATTTAATATGTACCCACTGGTCTGTGGGCTTTATTATCGGCACCGGTACACTATAAAATATAAAATTATATTTTTCATTATTACTTAGTATATTTTTCTAGACAATAGCTATGTGTAATTAAATTGAGCATAATTACCTGATCTTTCCAGCACACCCGACTGGGACTCAGTCGCAGACATGATAAGGTTATTCTATCTGTAGTGTTTATTTAGCTTACTGTAGCAGCACAGTGTTCCCTCTTTATGGACTTTGTATGCGCGATATTTAATATTTTATATGATCCTCTTTACGGAGAAAAATGTAGTAAAATAAAATTGCTTTAACTTAACAACCAGTTAGTGTGCACCTATTTTGAAGACATTTTAAGAAATTCTGGCTCGATGATAAATACATTTTGCTTCGTACAAATCAAATCTTAATATCCCCATTCTATACAATATCCTAACAACAATTTCTCCCATCAATAACTAACACTTTGAATTATTCAATCCGTGTGGATACAGTGGATACATAGTGACATCATGCACGAAGAGCCAATCAGAAGTTCTTACACTAGATCGTTATGGAGGAAATTCAGTGTAACATTGAAATCAATATCAAAGAAACCATGGCCCAAATATTTGAAAATCATTTTTGTCCCTGTAACAAATCATACGAGGCGTGTCAACAGTTTAGGTTAGCCACTAAATCAGTGGTGGCGAATCTTTGACACGCGTGCCGAAGCAGGCACGCAGAGCCCTCTCCATCTCCAAAGTTTGACAAATTATCAACTTACATCTTGTCACAGGACGACTGTATGGGCGCATAGCTAGCTGTCACAAGACCATAGAAGCGCATACACCTTTTCAAGGATTTTACTTTTATTTTCTGGTATTTTTTGTAAAACTTTGTTTTTTGTTTTTTTTTGTGTTGCCTCGTCATGGGACACAACTTCAGATAGTGTCGTACAGAGTGCTGTATGAAACTGTATGTGTCGTCATGGGACACAACTTCAGATAGTGTCGTACAGAGTGCTGTATGAAACTGTCTCGCCATGGGACACAGCTTCAGATAGGGTCGTACAGAGTGCTGTATGAAACTGTATGTTTCGTCATGGGACACAACTTCAGATAGTGTCGTAGAGAGTCCTGTATGAAACTGTATGGCTCGTCATGGGACACAACTTCAAATAGTGTCTTACAGAGTGCTGTATGAAACTGTCTCATCCTGATAATTACTGGTGGGGAAAAAAAAGAGTTTGAAAGTAACTTGGATTATTTAAAAAAAAATAACGATAACATAGCAAGAATGAAGGCTAGACTTAAAACGTCGGGGTCATTGATTTTAACAGGCTCGTGCCATCTTTTTTTTTGAGTGAGAACCCTTGTTTATAAATGACATCTGCTAAGAAAATAGTTTGGGATCCGCACGGAGGGCCGATTGATCAAATGTCCCTAAAGATATATTGTTTTAAAAATCAGCTTCATCTATTCCTAGTATGTCCGTCACTCTGCTGGTGTTAGACTCTACCCTATTTAACCATATAATGTTTCAGTGCTTCACATATTATAGACATGAATGTGGAAATAAATTAAATTGACTGAAATTATTAATGTTGTTATGTGGGCATTTTTGTGTGTACCCCCCTCCCCCCTCCCCGCCCACCGTTTGGCTACGCCGTGGTTTTAAATGACATTTGTTCGAATAAAATGTTCTTTTAAGTCAGATCTGTAATAGTAGGTCAAGGCTAGCGTATCTGAAAACGAATTCTGCGCTGTGTGAGTTTAGCTTATCACCGGAGTCTGATAAGCCATTTACGTGACTCCTTGTGATAGCGCCGTGCGTGGACAACTTTTCCACCTCGATTGTCTCTCTTATCAATTTCGATTAGCTCCCTTGCTGTCCTCCTTGCTTCATTGCAATGAGAAAACGTTCATTAACTAAGAATTTACAAATATACATGTATGCCGATTGTGGAATAATAAAGATGTCAGTCTCTGGCATGGGCGCCCGCAGAAAACTTTCTAGGGGGGGGGGGTCGGGGAAATTTTTTTAGTAATGTTTTAATGTAGTTTTAATTTACTGTAGCGTATTTGTATGGTGAACGAACGGACAGGACATCAGCTTAGTTACTTTCTCTTTATTTTCTCTTTACTTTAATAAATTTTTTGTCTATTTTGTCTAAATTTTTTTTTATCCAATCAATCCAGGGGAGGGGGCAAGTGCCCCACCTTGCCCCTACCTGCGGGCGCCCATGGTCTCTGGGATACATTTTGAGCATTGCAGTCTCTGGGGGTCGTCATGACGATGGTAGTTTAAGATTATTCCACATCCGCTTTTTCAGTTCAGCCATAGAGGCAGCTGCTTTTGCGATTCTTGCGTTCACATATTCGTCCGCAGAGCGAGTTAATAGATCATTGATCCAAGGTATGTGACATTATTAACTACCGACAGATTATGGCTCTCAATAGTTTATCAGGAGGCGACTGTGTGCTTCTTGCATCATGACTTTTGGTTTCTGTAGATCAATAGTCAGTCCAAGCTCTTCACAGGCATGAAAGAGGCGATTAACTAACCTGCCAATATTAAACGATAATTTTGACCTGACTAAACCTGTCTTTAGTACAGGGATAACAATGTTGTTGGGAAGAAGGGGGGGGGGGTGGTTGGCCTAAAAAATAGAATTTTTGGAATCCTCCTCGACACATATCTAAACTAATGAGACTTACGGTCATATTTTGTCCTCAGTGTTCGAGTCAATTTAAAAAATAAATAATTATCGATAAATGTGTATTTTAGTTTGAAATAAAGTTGTCGTTAATTCTATGACCCAAAAAGCTGTACAGCTTCATCACCACCTCCTTGATTTTCAACCATTCAAGGAACGGAGACATAATAATTACAACATCAGGCTACTGTAAACATAACAATTGAACAATCAGGTTGCTTAAACATAATAATTACAAAATCAGGTTACTGTAAATAGGAAAGCTATTATACACCAAAATTGTTTACTCTCGGTCTCAACACTGCTTCATACCAACAACGCCAAAAGGTTATTACTTTTCCAAATAGTTTGAAGTTTTTTATCTTTTTTTTTCAAATGTTTTTTTCTCTGCATGAGACAAATGTTCCAAAATGTCATTCATCATTGGTCCAAAATGTGATCAATCATTGATCCAAAATGTGATCAATCATTGGTCCAAAATGTGATACACAATAGGTCCAAAATGTGATCGATCATTCGTCCAAAATGTGATCCACCATTGGTCCAAAATGTGATCCATCATTGGTCCAAAATGTGATCCACCATTGGTCCAAAATGTGATCAATCATTGATCCCAAATGTGATACACCAATGGTCCAAAATGTGATCCATCATTGGTCCAAAATGTGATCAATCATCGGATTGTGAATAAACCAAGAACATTTTCAGTCTCCATTTTGTTATTTTTAGCAGCCAATGTTAATAAAAGTCAATGTTTACAGTAGTCAATGTTTATAGCAATCAGTGTTTATAGAAGTCAATGTTCATAGCAGTCAGTGTTTATAGAAGTCAATGTTCATAGCAGTCAGTGTTTATATTCACAAGTGAGCTAAGCCGTTCACGTATCATTGAGGACCAAGTGCACATTAGATCCAACATTCAAAAGATTGGTGCACCAGTTGCCTTCGTATCATTTGATAACATTAAGTTTTTAACAGAATGTAGTATTTCATTTGATAACATTAAGTTTTTAACAGAATGTAGTATTTCATTTGATAACATTAAGTTTTTAACAGAATGTAGTATTTCATTTGATAACATTAAGTTTTTAACAGAATGTAGTATTTCATTTGATAACATTAAGTTTTTAACAGAATGTAGTATTTCATTTGATAACATTAAGTTTTTAACAGAATGTAGTATTTCATTTGATCACATTAAGTTTTTAACAGAATGTAGTATTTCATTTGATCACATTAAGTTTTTAACAGAATGTAGTGTTTTATTTGAACACCTACCAATTCTATGTAGTGTGCAATCCGACCTTTGATGATAACGTATTCGGCTGTGTTCATTCACTTAATTCTTTCTATTATCGCCTTAATTCTATCATTTCTAAAGCATGGGTGTGTCGCAGATCCACATGTATAATTAACATTGATTTATCCCATGAAATATGTCCAAGATACATGAAAAAACTTGTTTGTATCCTTTGTCACGTGGTCACTTTGTCGTTCGGACATAGGCACGTGCCTAATCTACTTTTAGGTAAGTAAGGCACGTGTCGACTCTACTTTTACACGTGCCTACTCTACTATTAGGTAAGTACGGCACGTGTCTACTCTACCTTCAGTACAAGGGTCACCAAACTACGGCACACGACCTCAGTTCAACAGGACCCCCCCCCCCCCCCCCCCCCCCACAGACGGTACTTGAATTTGCTTGATAAAACGTATGAAACACGAGACGTTGCGATACAATTTAAATATTATGTTTAGAATAATAGGAAATCTTTACACGTGCGGAGACCTCCTGGCTGCTATAATCCTTAAATTTACAATTTTCAAACATTGTATCTAGATTTTCTTGCTGATAATAATTGTAATGTTTGCTTATGTCACGCCCTCCCAAGTACTTCCCCGGCTCGTGGTAGCTCAGCTTCTAGAAATGTTCAGATCTTGACAGAATTGAGAGTGAAATTTTTCTATTCCAGAATCCATTTGATTGTAACCTTGATGATTTTCCAGGTGAACTACAGTTGGAGCTCATTGGTTTGCAAGAAAATTACTTGTTGAAAGAGAAGCACAAAGAAGGAAAACTTGCTGAATTTTACCTCTGCTTACCTGATGTTGAGTTTCCGAAACTGTTGGAATTCGCCACTGTTATCATGGCATCAGTGTTTGGAACAACTTATGTCTTTGAGCAAACATTTTCAAAAATGAAGTATATAAAGTCAACCAACCTGATGACCGTGACCACCCTGACAAGAGTGACCACCCTGACCACCATGACCACTCAGACCACCCTGACCACTCTGACCACAATGACAAGCATGACCACCATGACCACCCTGACCACCATGACCACTCTGACCACCCTGACCACAATGACCACTCTGATCACCCTGACCACTCAGACCACCCCAACCACCATGATCACCATGACCACCCTGACCACTCTGACCACCCTGACCACTCTGACCACCATGACCACTCTGACCACCTTGACCACTCTGACCATCCTGACCACAATGACCACTCTGACCACCCTGACCACTCTGACCACCCTGACCACTCTGACCACCCTGACCACCCTGACCACTCTGACCACACTGACCACCCTGACAACCATGACCACCATGACCTCACGCTGACCACCCTGACCACCATGACCACCATGACCACCCTGACCACTCTGACCACCCTGACCACCCTGACCACTCTGACCACCCTGACCACTCTGACCACCCTGACCACCCTGACCACCCTGACCACTCTGACCACCCTGACCACTCTGACCACTCTGACCACCATGACCACTCTGACCACCCTGACCACCATGACCACCCTGACCACCATGACCACTCTGACCACCATGACCACTCTGGCCACCATGACCACCCTGATCACTCTGACCACCCTGACTACCATGACCACCATGACCACTCTCACAATCCTGACCACCCCAATAAAACAAAAGAAGCAAATAAAAGCAGGTATTTCCCTTCAGTTGACATTTTTGTTTATGATAATAATAGCAATGCAGTCAGTGGCTGAGTTACCTAACGAGAGGCCCTAGAACATTCAGGGGCTGAGTTACCTAAGGAGAAGCCCTAGAGCAGTCAGGGGCTGAGTTACCTAACGAGAGGCCCTAGAGCAGTCAGGGGCTGAGTTACCTAACGAGAGGCTCTATAGCAGTCAGGGCCGGAGTTACCTAAAGAGAGGCCCTAGAGCAGTCAGGGGCTGAGTTACCTAACGGGAGGCCCTAGAGCAGTCAGGAGCTGAGTTACTTAACGAGAGGCCCTATAGCAGTCAGGGCCGGAGTTACCTAACGAGAGGCCCTAGTGCAGTTGTGACTGGTTTACCTAACGAGAGACCCTAGTGCAGTCAGGGCCTGAGTTACCTAAAGAGAGGCCCTAGGCTATTCTCATTTTTGGGCCCTCCCTTTTTAACCAAACAAATAATTTTCTAATTATTAGATAGAAAAAGACTTTTGCACTTGCAGTCTTTTTTAGATTACAATTTAATAAACTGTGTACCTCCATGAGACAGAATCGGCTTATCTGTGTACCTCCATGAAACAGAAGCAACTCATTTTTGGGAGTACAAGGGATAGAATCAACTCGTTTGTGGGCCTATGGTTTTGTTTAACATGCCAAGTGCTCAAGAATGAGTCTATTTTTTAAAAATAGTATTGCGGCCATTGTAAAAAATAACTTAACACGTGATACCAAAATGTAGCATCGACAGACATTCCAAAAATTTGCACAAAATCTGTTATCACCTGTCCCATTAACATACAAATGGATTGGGTAGAGTTGACCGAGTATCGAATTTGTCCTTGCAGCCATATACTATGCGGTTTAATATAATATTTTTTTTTTAAATTTCGTATATTGATCAGCCACAGGGGGATAGACCCGGTGGGTCTAAAACAGAGTTTAACAAATTAAATAGATAAGCTATAGCGGAAAACATGCAATTAGAAAGCGAATGAATTTGATTTCCTCATTTTGGCCGAAACCGAAACAGAAACCGAAAGATTTATATATTTTGAAACTCGTTCGCGAATACGTTCTGCTGACGTTTAAAATTATGATAAAAGTATCGATATTTAAATTTTTTAGAATAAAAAAATAAGATGCTCGTGAATTTTAATACATAAACATCTTATGATTACATTGGCTTTTACCATTTGAATTTTATAATATAATTACAACCCTACATAGACACATTTGGTATCGACCGAAAGCTTAGCCTAAATATTTTTTTATTGGGGTGGCTCATTAAATGTCAAGACAGAAGCTTTGAGGGAACTTTTTATTAACTTTATTATTTTGTTGAATATTTTTATTTCGTCAATGACATTTTGTTTCCTGCATGATAATGATGAATTTCAATAAATGAATGGATTGAATAAACATAAGGTTCCTTAATTTGTATTTTTTTTTAAAATTTAAAACAAAAATAAAAAATGTTACTCTTTTATAAGATCATTTCTTTACAGTGCTGTTCACCTTTGCATATGACAACATTTATCAGCAGGAAAATGATAAATCAAAATGAATAACAAAATAAATGAATTGAATAAACCTAGGGCTCCAAAAGTTTATTTTTCAAAGCATTTAAAAAAAATAATATAAATAATATCATTCCCTTAGTTGTTGTTTTTTCACTAAACTATTTACCTTTGCCTAGACCTAACTGAAAGTAGGTCATTGTGTAGCTGTGAGCATCAGGCAAATAGGATTAGTCATGTATCATAATATGCCTGCACGACGTCCAGCAATAATGGATATCGGATTGCCGGCCGACAGAGTGACAGTCTAAATTCTGATAGACTACCGAAAGCCTCAATCAATTTGGGCCGAAACCGAAAATAAACCGAAAGTTAACTTTTCTGTTTTGCCAAAATGGAAACTACGGCGAAGGTGATCATTTGGAAACTTTCGGCGCTGAAACCGAAATGCGGTCGGCTTCCACATGCATTGGACCTAAAGCAGCGCAGTGAACCTAAACTAGCATATATAAGAAAAAAATTGTGGATGTCCCCACCCCTGTTTTGTCCGCTTTTGAATACCCCCCCCCCTCTTTTTTTATCTCTGTGGACATCGATTATGGACGATTCCACAAATTAAAAAAAAGCCCCTCATCTTTTGTTGCATTGGACCTAAAGAAACGAAATGAACCTAAACTAGCATATATAAGAAAAAAATTGTGGCTGTCCCCACCCCTGTTTTGTCCGCTTTTGAATCCCCCCCCCCCCCTCTTTTTTTATCTCTGTGGACATCGATTATGGACGATTCCACAAATTAAAAAAAAGCCCCTCATCTTTTGTTAGGCCATAGGCTTAAGCCCACTGAGTCCATACGAAAATGTGTCCCGAATGCAATAGAAAATGTAAGACATGATTGAAATCTAGATACTGCAATTTAATCTATTCAATCTGAATATAAAGTAAATAAATAATAACACAGCTGAGCTTCTAATATTATAACACAGAAACATTCACAAAATGTGCAACAAAACATCATCGGAAAACATGTCCTAGTGGTGTTACAATGAATCTCAATACCAGTACTTGTTTTTTTTTTAAAATCCACGATCGTATTTGTCATTCTCACAATGTTTATTTAGTTTATATAACATGGGAAGTGTTACATTGGTGAGACAGTCAGTTGACTTGGTGACCGGCACAGAGTACGCTGGAATAATAATATAAAAAGTAAACCTTGCCTTTGATTCAGCACAATTTGATTACAAATACATGCCAAGTCTCCGTTTTTCTCTGTTAGCTCGGGATCTGAAAATGAACCTAATACATGAGGAAAAGTGAGTGCATTTGTTTGAATCCCAATCGTGTGATTTTCCGACTCAAAAAGACAAAAACTTATCTGAAACAAGCATAAATATGTTTCTAAAAATATCACATTTGAATAAATTAATAATGAAAGATAATAATAATATGGGCACACGGTGTCCACGAGCGCATAGCAGTACAAATATAATGTGTCCACGGGTACATAGCAGTACAAATACAATACAAACTACAATGTACATAATGTAAAAAGTTAGAAATTGATTCAAAACTTTTTTTTTAAAAAATAGGCACAGAATAATTTAATTACAAAAAATAATTTAGTGACGAGCTCCTCCATTCCATGACAGCTAATATTTCAGTTATCGTTGAGTTTCTCCTCTATGACAATGATTGATTTACCGCTGGGCTGGCGTCTCTTGATTATGATGTTGAACAACCTGGAACATAGCAACAACGACCGTGAAGGGAGTAAACCACTTCGTTACAGAAATGTACCTTAAAAGTTGAACGCGATTGAATATGGCAGTTTGGCGTGAACAGTGGCGCTCAACAGTTCTATAGGACTTTTGATTGATTACTAGCTGTCTAGCCCGCCGTTTCTATGATGATTGTTTATATAAATAGCGAGCAATTGATCAAATTGTTACAACAACAACAAAAATAATACAAGGCTAAGATAAAAAATCGTAAATTAAAAATTGTACGATATCCATTAATCATTAAAAAACACAAAGCTTTGAAATAATTCTATAATGGGGTCAATGACTTAGACTGTATCTAATAATGACTCAACGATTTTTACATTCTTTTCCAATCATTGTTGCATGACGCAAGCCTTCAGTTAGAAACACAAAATATACAATAGTTATGTATTGAATTGCTCAAGTACTTACAGCATGACAGTCGCTGCCAATACGAGACAAATGGCTATAACAAAGTAGGTCAGTCCATGCCAGATGTCCACTGTCAAAGAATAAAGTGCATCGAGGCCAGCACCGGCAACAGCCAATGTGGCAACTTCTATCACAGCAACGCTGGCAAACAAGGAGCCTGCACAATTCACATTGTTATAGTCGAAGTGAAGTAAACATTTTATAACATGATCCATATCAGTATGAAGTAAATATACGTCAAAAACGTAACACTATTTCTTTTGCTAATAAACTCAAACCCCCCCCCCCCTTTCCCCCCTTATTTGGCTGTTCACGTTGAAAATCCCTACTGCAAATATGATACAATTCAAAACAACAATGGCTCTATTTGCAGGAAAAATTTGTTATAGTCGAATTGAAGTAAACATTTTATAACATGATCAATATCAGTATGAAGTAAATATACCTCAAAAACCTAACACTATTTCTTTTGCTAATAAACCCCAACCCCCCCCCCCCTTTCCCCCCTTATTTGGCTGTTCACGTTGAAAATCACTACTGCAAATATGATACAATTCAAAACAACAATGGCTCTATTTGCAGGAAAAACACACATATCAGTTCGCGGCTAACTCACCTCTTTTATCCGATGGAACCATCCGCGATAGAATAGCACGAATGATTGGAAGAAGAAGATTTTCAAACATTCCTATGGTGTAAGCTGAAATGGACAGATTTAGCGTTGAAAATATATAGGCTGGCTAGCTACTAGTATATTTAGTTAATCTAAAAATGTGAACCTATATTTACTAGTTATTTTTTTTTACACCAAAAAAAAAAAAAAAAAAAAAAAAAAAAAAGTTGCCTGACCTCGATGTACAAAACTTACTAATGAATATCATCTTACTAAAATTATATCCTTACCAACAAATATATTTTTACCAACAAATATCTTAGAACAAATAACTTAATATCTACAAATAATAGCTTACCAACAAAGATAATTCATAAAATATTATCATACCAACAAATATAATCTAACCATAAAATGTAAGCTTACCAACAAATATCATCTTACCAACAACTATCATCTGACCAACAAATATCTTCTCACCAACAAATATCATGTTACCAAAAAATATCATCTTACCAACAAATTATATCATCTTACCAACAAATATCATCGTTTCATTAACAGCGAAGGCGAGAACAAAACGACTTGCTCCCGCCGATATAAGGGAGACTATGCTGATAGTTTCGTCTGAGAATATTTTTTGAATGAGTCGCATTAAAAAAAGAGATGCGAATGAGCTGAGGAGACCCTGAGAATGTAGAGGGGAAAAAACAAAAAAGTTATTTATAACAAACGTGACCACCATTATATAATGCCAAGCTGAAATCAAACAGAAAAAAACACAAAAACAATCCAAAATTGTATCATGCTCTAATCAAACAACAGTTAAAAAAAAACAGTCAAAATTGTATTTTCTACACGCCCACCTGAGCTTTAAAGCCTAGATTTTGTCGATGCACCGACTGCCAATTCATCTGCGTGAAGTTTCATGAGTTCGTCACACGAATCTCAAATTAACTATTATTTTTGTGAGGACGTATTATGTCTTTCGCTCACCTGAAATGTTATGACGTTCCCCATCTTGACCGAACTCCAGCACAACGGCTCGTTCATCAGGTAAAGACTCTGGATCGATACACCCAAGCAGGTGGAGTACATGAAGAAGACAAATCCCAGCATAAGGAAGTCTTTCCTCTTGTACCTGGGGTTGTCGGTCTTCACCAGGTAGAAACCGAAGACGCTCTTGACACCTGTGCAAAAAATATACAACACAATGAGTACAAAAAAATGGGCTACACCACAACAGCACAGAAGCCCTTTTAATAATTATTAATTCTTTAGCAGACTTGAATCAGTCTCATACACAAACACAAACTTTGCATCAGGTAGATACAAACAGTCAAACTTCTAATACAGGCTCAAACAATAAAAAAAAAATTTGAACCAGACTCATACAAACAAACAAACCTTGAATCAGACTAGCGCGTTTGCCCAGGTTGCTGGTGTCCAGAGTTTCCCTCAGGAAGCAGACACAGACCAGCAAAGACAGACACAGGACGAGTGTTGCTGTAAACATCGGCCAGATGTAACCTTCACCTTTGATGAAATAACCCACCACCAGGTGGGTCAGTGCGTAGAAAATATTCATTGTGGCCTAGGAAAGAGGGGATTATATGTTCATGTCTGCACAGACTTTGCCTCCAACATGATGGGGATGGCTAATAATGAGATACAGTTTGTGTAAGTAAAAACATACAGTTTCAGTTTTAATAACGATCATGCAGAATTCAAATCTAACATTTTTGGCAAAGGCCTTAAAAAAAATCACGTACGTGTAAATTAAATTTAGATATGTATATAAATGTATCCGACCTAAAAATTAGAGATAATAATAAGAGTGGGCGAAAAAATGAAGTAGACATGCTAATTAAAATATCTTTGGTTCAAAAAAAAAATAAAATCTATAAATAGATTTGCAAAACGAAGTTTTAAAATAACAAACTTCGTGTATTAAAAAAAAAAAATTCAGAACAAGACTTTTAAGAAAACAATTTTGTGGTAAACTCATTAACGTGTTAACATTTAGAATTGTACTCAGCTGATGAGCAAACTATTTCATGTATCTATGGCGGCTTCTAGGAAGTTTTAGGAGCTTTATAAAAAATGATAATACATCGTTACGAGGGGATCCATTCAGATAAATAATGGGTTTTGGCTGTTTTCATTGAACAGCTCTCTACACTTAAAATGAATCGACGAATCCATAGCCACTTAAGAGTCAGAGACACAACAAAAACAACAAAAAAAACAACTCCTTTAACCGGCAACCGTGCTGCAATGACTTTATTTATTCGATGATGCAAAGTTGTTTTTTTTTCCCCCGAGCTACCAACAGAAAACGACAGATATCCCTGGTTTACCTGGGCGACCACCATACCAAACGACCTGCTCTTGTTGTGTCCGGTGTTGTCTGCCGTGTAGACGTAGATGGCCATGAACAAGGCCGGCATACTGCCCGATAGTCCTGACAGAAGCGTCCCAAACAAGGCCCAGTAGACATTCAGCTTCCAGTAGGCCACGGCGCTGGTAAACCCATATTTCGTCATCATCCCTGCGAAAGTGAACCCGACTAAATAATAATTTAAAAAAAAAAAGCAATTTACTTATTACAAAAACATAAACCGAGTATAAGAAAAACCAAACACTTGGAGTTCAGCAACAGAGAACCTCGTTTATTTTTTTTGTTGCAGTAGTAATATCTTTATTTTGTTTGGGGGGGGGGGGGATATAGCTATGAAATGGCAACTATAAATAGTTGAAGATATGTTAAAGATAAAATTTAAAAAAAAAAAGCATTGAAACAATTCGTTTTATCAAATAAATAAAAAATTAAAAAAAAAAAACAATTTACTTATTAAAAAAACATAAACCGAGTATAAGAAAAACCAAACACTTGGAGTTCAGCAACAGAGAACCTCGTTTATTTTTTTTGTTGCAGTAGTAATATCTTTATTTTGTTTGGGGGGGGGGGGCATATAGCTATGAAATGGCAACTATAAATAGTTGAAGATATGTTAAAGATAAAATTTAGATAAAACAAGCATTGAAACGATTCGTTTTACCAAGATGGTCGCTATTCGTTGACCAAGATGGTCGCTTATCGTCAACCAAGATGGTCGCTATTCGTTGACCAAGATGGTCACTATTCGTTGACCAAGAGGGTCGCTATTCGTTGACCAAGATGATCGCTATTCGTTGACCAAGATGGCAGTTATTCGTTGACCAAGATGATCGCAGTTCTTTGAACGGAGGATTAGTTTAATTTAGTTTAGTATTATAGTTCAAGGGGGAAACAGTCTGAGTGGCTCTGATATAGTTCAAGGGGGAAACAGTCTGAGTGGCTCCGATATAGTTCAAGGGGGAAACAGTCTGAGTGGCTCCGATATAGTTCAAGGGGGAAACAGTCTGAGTGGCTCCGATATAGTTCAAGGGGGAAACAGTCTGAGTGGCTCCGATGTACAGATTTTTATTTCTTGTTCTTTGGTCATCGTTATTGTTTGACAGTATTAACCCTTGGATCACTGGACATGAGATACACATGCTTTATTGTCGTTTAGATTTATGTCTTGAGACATCAACGACTTGACAGAAATCGGCGTATCTGTTTTCAAGAAGTTTACACATTCGCTCCAACAGTGGTAACATAAACATGACGAATTCATGCCTACCTAACAGTGGTAATATAAACAGAACGACTTTATGCCTACCAAACAGTGGTAATATAAACAGGACGACTCAATGCCTACCAAACAGTGGTAATATAAACAGGACGACCTAATGCCTACCAAACAGTGGTAATATAAACAGGACGACCTAATGCCTACCAAACAGTGGTAATATAAACAGAGCGACCTAATGCCTACCAAACAGTGGTAATATAAACAGAGCGACCTAATGCCTACCAAACAGTGGTAATATAAACAGAGCGACCTAATGCCTACCAAACAGTGGTAATATAAACAGAACTCTACGACCGATCCGGTCAGCATACGCCCCGAGTAAAGTGTTCGTTATGACGGCTGGCAGAAGGCTGATCAACATTGCCCATGTGTTGAACCTTGATGCCCTGGCTTGTGCCTCGTCCAGTTCTGCTGCCCATGGCGACGAGTTGTTGTTACCCTTGATACATGGATTGCTGGATCTGGATAGAGATAGAGAGAACCGTTACTGTATACACTGTTGCCTTCTTAATATTCAATTGAAATTGACATCAAAGCTGACTTGGACCAATTCGTCAGATATCAGTTTCAAATATTATATGAATAACATCGGCTTTATGAGGAAGTGCAAATTTTTACATGAATAAATTATTTAGATTTTCTTAACATTGCTAATTTACTACGTTTTTATTGATATAAACACTTATATTCTCCCACCGTGTTCCATCTACCTGCACTTGTGGTACATGATTATTATGGAGGCGTAGCAAATACAGATATCCAATTTTCATTACCGGTACACATTTTAGAGCTGATCGGATGTGACTTTTTTTATTTTATTTTTGGAAAGGCAAAAAATTTAAGTTGTACGAAATTGAAACGAGTTTTAGAACCCCTCAATCAACAACTCTTCAAATAAAAATTTAAAGTATTATCTGTCCACCAGAAGTATTTACAACGATAAACAGAAAGAAGTGACGTGGTGTTGCAGTTGGTGTATAATATCTGGTTTATGTCACATCAAAGAACAGAACCCTTTTAAATGATCACTAACGCACATATTCTGTTAAAGGTCCGAGTTTACTGTCTTACAACCCCAGCTAGTACATTAGCAATCAGCTCCATCTGCTGAGCTGCGCATTGTCTTCACTAAGGCTCTCTCACCGCCCGGGCCTACCCTGAAACACTTAGTGAGGGACATTGCGCACTAAATGCGCACTAAATGAGCATGAAATGCGCAACAAATGAGCACAAAAACACCAAAAATGCCAACAGACTCACGCGGAGTCATTGATGAACGACGCGTTAGAGCCCAGCACCATGTACTCAAATTCCACATAGAGCCATTGACTGAAGGCGTCGTTGAACAGGGCGTACGACATCGTCGACAAGCTGAGGACGACCAAGGCAATGGCGATGTTCCATGCACCCCTTGCTGACACGCCTTCTTCCTTCTCTGTGACGGGTTTCTGTAACGACCAATCAAAAAATTGTCGCACGTATTAAAAAATCCTTAGCGCTACCCCTCCCCCCTCAACAAATGTACAACTGTAATCAATAGGTAGCTTCAGAGGCGGCGTCTTGGACTCCAGGGGGTTTGGATATTTAAAGGCCAAAAGTTGGGATATGAAAAAAAATATTTTGAAAGCAAAGGGGGGGGGGGACGAAACCGAAAAGTGACAGGTAGCATCAAAAAGTCACATGAGGTCTCTTATTAGCTTGCATATGAAATGTATCTTTTGAAATAGATAACCAAAAATATTATCTTATGACTAATTCTATGAGTATATCGATAAATTGCTTATAAAAACACTAAACGACTTGACATATTGTTATAAAGATCAAATTCAGAATTAAAAACATGTTGGGAAAAAAGAGAAAACTCCAAATGTGTGTGTGTGCGTTAAAATTGAAACAAAAATCTACGCATCTCTCGACCCACCTCGACCCATGCTCAAACGACCTGGTTTCAAGAAAAGTGTCAGCCTCCGTATGCCGTACCTTTGATTTATAACGATACTGTCACGGTTGTACTATAGCCTCGTCCTCGTTCACTCTGATAACCTACGACAGGTGGTCAGTGTCGGGTCTTCGTTACTATGAAAAACCCTCCACCCGTCTGCACTACCCAAGTTGGGATTCTCCACCCTTCTGCACTACCCAAGTTGGGATTCTCCACAACATTAAGTCAAAGGGTTTCCTTTGAGTCAAGAAAATTGGTTTTCCCTAGAAAATGTGCAAAGAATGCCTATATTTGAATTCCCCCACAACCAGTTGTACCACATTCACTAGCTTCACTAGTTTATTTTTCATTGATATTAGTGAAACAAAGACAAAGTACAGTACGTGAGAATATTCAGGTGTTAACAGTGGTTCGTCCTCAGAGTTCCCGTCATCGTCCAACTGATTTCTGAGAATGTTCGTGGCCCTGAGCATGTCAGTTCTGGGAATGTCCCACGATAAACTATCAAAATTACTAGTGTAATCATTCGTATGTTGATCGTTTGCTGCACTCGAAGTCCCTGGGAATAAAGGTTAATGGATATTTCTTTAAAAAAATAAGATCAATGGGAATGTCATTGACAAAGTTATACAATGTATTGTACTGAGACATTTATAACAAAAAATAAGCAAGCTTGAAAAACAAATCTTAGGCGTGATCAATTTTAATTTCTCAGTAATTGCAGAACAAGTACATTATTTAATTTACATATTTGTTTTAAAAATTTGATTTTTTCATGTTGATGTAGCTTTAGTTTCGAATTTATTTAAATTTTTATTTATAGTTTCTATCAGTCCTGCTGCTGCTACAAATTGCTTAGAATAGAAAATTTAAATGGAATTTCACATTTTGTCTGTAAGACAATCACCTGGTTTTCCGTCCCTGTCTGATGGGCGGTGTCTTTTTCTGTCAGCCATATTGCTATTTTACGCAGCCAAGGCAACAAACGCTGGTTGTCACAACAAGACAGTGCTCAGTGCCATGCCTTTGTGATTCTTTTCACTTTGAACTCAACACATGCGGGGCGCAGACTGGGTGCCGTCTGCAATGACGTCAGTCTCACAGCATTAGCTCCCCTGGGAGCAACACATAAATAAAATAATAAAACACCAAATTAAGTTACCAGAATGGTGAGTTCAAACGGTGAGTTCTAATGGTGAGCTCTAATGGTGAGTTCTAATGGTGAGTTCTAATGGTGAGTTCTAATGGTGAGTTCTAATGGCGAGTTCTAATGAACATGACAAGAAGAGCGCCAGTGTATGAGACTTTATGAGAATGTATGAGAATGTAATGGATGAGTATAAGAAAGAAAAAATATATATTCTACTGTTTTAAGTTTTAAAAAAAACAACACCCCTTTAATTAGCAGTATTTAAATATAATAGCAACATCCCTAGCATTGCCAGTACATGTATTTGAAAAAGAAACAAACAGGGAAAGACACTGTCCCTGGAAAAAATGGTAACGCAGTCTGTAGAACAAGAAAATGTTAACTTACAATTACTGTTATTTAGCTGCACGCCTGTTAGTCCAACCACACAATGTTAACTTATACTTTATGTCATTTAGCTGTCCGCCTGTCAGTCAAACCACACGATGTTAACTTATTCTTACTGTCATTTAGCTGTCCGCCTGTCAGTCCAACCACACGATGTTAACTTATACTTACTGTCATTTAGCTGTCCGCCTGTCAGTCCAAACACACAATGTTAACTTATACTTAATGTCATTTAGCTGTCCGCCTGTCAGTCCAAACATTCACCGCATTGCGTCAACCAAAGTTTCCACACGTTTCACTTCCAGGAGACAGCACGTTACGAAATTTTAGACGCTTCGTTTTTTTTTTGTTTTTTTAAAGCAAGATAACCAGAATGAAACAATGGGCCACACGGTCAAGTGATCCCATCGTGTGTTGTTCTATGCCGTGTTGTGTAAGAGGTCGGATGAGACGTAGCTGACAAGAGCGCATGATGGCAAAGGCACTCGTCAATCAGGATAACCCGTTTGCTAGACCTTTATCTGGGAAACTTTGGTCTCCTACCACGGACCAAGGATCAGTACGGTGATGTAGACAAGTTTCACCAGTGTTGACATTAACGTTGTGCCAATAGGTGTTTTACTCGTGACTCCTCTACATACAAGATTGTGACATGGATATTTAAATATACCATTAATGAGGCAGACTTACGGTGTTTCTCAAACTGCAAGCGACGGACCTCCGCCAATGTGCAAACTTCCCTCTTCATAAAAAAATATATGTTTTTAAAATTCACTTTTTCTCGTTAGAATTATTTTGCGGTCGGGGGTGAAAGAATGAGAGATGTGTTAGAGATATAAAGATAATGAAATATGTCGAGGCATATGGATAACTAGACTTGATGAAAGATGGGGAGGGCTAGAAAGGAAGTAAATGAGAATTGAATTAAGGATTGGTGATGAAGCATCCTAAGTCTTGAACGAGTACATCATATGAACAATTGAATGGCAGCGAGGAAAAGTTTAACTCTTTCAGGAGGAAGGAGAGAGAGAGAGAGAGAGAGAGAGAGAGAGAGAGAGAGAGAGAGAGCCAGTGAGAGAGAGACAGATACAGACTGACAAACATACAGAGAGAGAGAGAGAGACAGAGAGAGACAGAGAGAGAGAGAGAGAGAGAGAGGGGGGGAATAAAGAAATAGAGAGAGAGAGAGAACCACTGGTAAAGCATTGATTTATGAGAGAGAGAGAGAGAGAGAGAGAGAGAGAGAGAGAGAGAGAGCAAGTGAGAGAGAGACAGAAACAGACTGACAAACATACAGAGAGAGAGAGAGAGACAGAGAGAGACAGAGAGAGAGAGAGAGAGAGAGGGGGGGAATAAAGAAATAGAGAGAGAGAGAGAACCACTGGTAAAGCATTGATTTAGCAAAGATGCACTCGGAATCCCTTGATAATAATCCAGTCTGTTATGTAGAATGTGTCTACGACACGTTCCCCTGCCGTGAACTCTGGTTGACCCCACATTAGACTGCGTTCACATTGGGCGTGGCCTATTTTCCTTTCATCCTAGCCGTTGTTTTCCACAACCATCAACTAAACATAACTAATATGTTTTAATAGAATTTTCGGAAAACTTCGATAATTGACTAGAAAGATAAACAATGTAGAAGACATTTCTAGAAGCGTTGGTTCTACCGAAGCATGATCTAAAAGGGGATTCGGAGATTCATCGACAGAGATTGAGAGAGAGATTCAGAGAGATATCGTTAACTTTACGAGACGATTGTATTATTGTCTGTTTGCTCATATGGGTTTATTCGCATTGATCATTCATCATTATTAATTGCCACATTGTACTAACTGTGTACCGGTACAAGATCTACCATACTCTGTAAGTTGATGATTTGTAATTATATTTCTTTTGTTTTGTAATTATATTAATACTTAAATGAATCTTAATAATTGTAATTAGCAACTGTTTTGGGTGTCGTATATTTTTGCTATTGTATTTCTTTATGGTATCGTCCTTTGTTGTGCACTGTTTGAACGAGCCATAACTTAAAACAAGAGCCATAACTTAAAACAAGAGATTAATTTCTCACAATAGCAGCCAGTGCGTAACACAGTCTTAATTCAACGTTCAAGGAAATACATGACATAATCTAGAAGACAATGACGCCAAAATGAATAAGCTAAAGAAAATCCAAAGAATTCTGAGTTTATACTATCTGAAATCTATGATATTTAATTGATGAATGTGCGTGTCATGTTTGACGGCTGACATATCTTATAATTCCCTTAATTTATTGGCCAGATATGTTACAAAGTTAAATAAGGCTTCCATGCCAGGGGAAATAACTCATGCTACTTTCATAGAAACGAAACATTCCCTTTATTTGTGAACACTTTTATTTAGCTTGTCATTTCAATCTTCACCCATTTCTCGATCTCCAGTTGAGTTGAAACATTGTACACTAACCCGTCCCCGATGACAATACAACTCTTCATGATCACTAGGTCCACTGACACTTTAGTGACCTCTTTTTGTCAAATCGTGCATCTCAATATTGACCTACTTACTGATGTGGCACACACAAACTAAAAAGTGCAAAATAAAACAATATTAAAACAAATACTTTATATAAAAAATCACACTTTTTTCCAAAACTGGACTAAAAAGTATAAATTAAATGCCCCCACCCCCTTCAGAGTTATTAGCGCCATATGACTAAAAATGCGTGGGGACGCCCATGAAACACACAAATGCCGTATGATGGCTTCTTCTTAGGTTGATTTGTCCGTTTGTTAGTTTGTCCGTGGTTAAATCTTGCATCTCAATTCTCAGTTTCGACCCACTTCCCTGATTTTAACCTGACCTAAAAGAAAGAACATTGAGTTTGAAGTTTTTGTAGACATTTATTTTACCCTTTTCAGAGCAATTTATTGACGAGTTGTTTATAACTAGCAGAGGCGTCGCCTCCAGCAGTATTTACAATCATTTAATTTAATAGTATTGTTTTATGATTAAATATAGTGTTGCGAATTTTACCTTTCATTCGCCACAAGTGTGGCTATTTTGGAAAAAGGTTGCCCATCTCGGTCTATTATACGATAGGTTTTACAACGTTCAGATGTCCAGTAAATGAACGCTCAACACAATGTTCCCATGTAATGACCATCCCAGCCTTCAAAACTGCCCTCAAGACCCATCTCTTCAAACTGGACTGTACCGACTCATTCTCACCCCCTCTAACTGATAAACAGCGCTCGCTGCTGCTAGGTGCTGTCCATGACTGGACAGGGTTAGATAGTACTTGCGGGTGGGTGAGGTCAAGCTTTTTCACCAATTGTCGTTTTTAAATGTATAATTTTCTGTAATTTCTAGTTTATGTGAAGCGCAGTGAGCCTAGCCCTAGGTTGGGGTACAGCAGTGAGCCTAGCCCTAGGTTGGGGTACAGCAGTGAGCCTAGCCCTAAGCTGGGGTACAGCAGTGAGCCTAGCCCTAGGTTAGGGTACAGCAGTGAGCCTAGCCCTAGGCTGCGGTACAGCAGTGAGCCTAGCCCTATGTTGGGGTACAGCAGTGAGCCTAGCCCTAGGCTGCGGTACAGCAGTGAGCCTAGCCCTAAGCTGGGGTACAGCAGTGAGCCTAGCCCTAGGTTAGGGTACAGCAGTGAGCCTAGCCCTAGGCTGCGGTACAGCAGTGAGTCTAGCCCTATGTTGGGGTACAGCAGTGAGCCTAGCCCTAGGTTGGGGTACTGCGCTATATAAAACCACCTTAATATATATAAATATAAGAATGAGCTAGGTTCACATCACGCCAAAAGGAAGAACTTTTTAAGTACGTTTCTATTATTTTACGGAAATCGAATACATTTAAATGCGCAAAATATTCTAAATCCACTTTTATTTTAGTAAAAGTTTAAGTATTATTATTAAAAATTACCAATACTTTTAAAGTGTCAACTAAGGAACTATTTTAAGCATTTTATATGTGTTTAAAAGTTATGAAAAAATAAAAAAATAATCAGGATTAAAGATTTACACCGTAATCACATTTATAGAGAAAACCCAAGCATCAGTCGTTTTTAGTGCGTCTTTTAGTGCGTTGTTAATATTGCGAATTAAAATTTAAATTAATTTGTTGTAAATAATCATGCAAATGACGTCATAGCGCGAAAAGACTATTTCGCCAAAACTCTTAGGTTTCTTTAAATTTAATAACCGCGCGTGACAAAACTGATAAGTATTTTCCCTTCTTAAAAGTAACATTAATTGTAATCTCCTTCCCTTATGATTTGGTCATTATTTTGTGTTTCAAAAAAACGGCTCTATTTTAAGATGTATTCAAATACAATTGATTGCTTTTTAAATTGTTAATATAACACACACACATTTTTGCTTTGTATATTTTTACATTTAAAAAGTTTTGCCTGTTTTGATTTAAAAAAATATACTTTTATTAAATTCATAACGTGTAAAAACTAACCTTTAAATATAATTCTAATAAGAAAATGCGGTTTAAGTCAAACAGTGCAGCGCAACTCCATAGCTAAATCGCAGTGACTAATCCACTTATAACTAAAACAAAAAAGAACGAACCATATGAAGTGCAAATTATTTTAGTTTGGGTATGGAAGGGACTACATTAACTACAAAATTCTGTCCCTGGCGTCCATAGATGGTATAGATGGCTCAGCACTGGAATATCTCTTGGGAACATACATTTTGGAGGTGGGAAATAGGATGTGGACATTTTCACGTGGATGACAATATATTTAAATCCTATGGTAATGCATTTGAGAAAAAAGAGATGTTACATTCTCTTTTTACAAATATGTGTATGTTCATTTTGCTCAAGGCAGCACAAGATACGTCTCAAAATAAAGGAATGGTTTGATAAATAATTAATTTTCTTGGGTAAATACATGTCGGAGGTAGGAAATAAGATGTGTACATTTTTACGTGGATAACAATATAGTTAACTCTTATGGTTTTACATTTGTGAAAAAGGGATGTTACGTTCTCTTTCTACAAATATGGGTATGTTCATTTTGCTCAAGTCAGCACAGCATACGTCTCAAAATAAAGGAATGGTTTTGATAACTAATTAATTTTCTTCGGTGAATACATGTCGGAGGTAGGAAATGAGATGTGTTCATTTTTACGTGGATGACAACATAGTTAACTCCTATGGTATTTCATATGTGAAAAAAGAGATGGTACTCTCTCCCTCTCTCTCTTTACAAATATAAGCATGTTTACCAATTAAGAAGAAGATAAAGGGCGTTAACAAATTTTGGGTACAGTTATATAAGTATACCCATGAATATCAAAATCCAATCATTTTACACACTTGAAAATTTAATTTTGAAAAATAGAGATGTGTTATATTTACTTTCAAATAATTAAAATACATTTTTTTTTTACTTTGCAAAAAGTCAAGAGATTTGTATTTTATGAGATTAACCATTTAAATTAAAAAAAAAAAATCAACAATGTTCAAATCTGAGTTGGGGGGGGGATAAACCCCCTCTCCTCCTTCCCGCCTCTTGAATTTCTCAAGGTAACAAAATTTATATA